TGGCACCCTCACCATAATACTATGACACGATGGTAACCTAACCATAATATCATGAGACGATGGTACCCTTTCCATAATACCATGAGACGGTGGTACCCTCACCATAATACTATGTTACGATGGTACCATCACCATAATACTATGAGACGATGGTGCCCTCACCATAATACAAGGTGACGATGGTAACCTCACCATAATACTATGAGAAGATTGTACCATCACCATAATACCATGAGACCATGGTACCCTCACCATAATACCATTAGACGATGGTACCCTCACCATAATACTATGAGACGATGGTAACCTAACCATAATATCATGAGACGATGGTACCTTTACCATAATACTATGAGAAGATGGTACCTTTACCATAATACTATGAGAAGATGGTACCTTTACCATAATACTATGAGAAGATGGTACCTTTACCATAATACCAAGGGACGATGTTAGCATCCCAAAATGGAGTTATAATCCTTCTACTGTTACAATTAAAAAGAAAACTAAAAACCTCTACTAAACACAATTCTGAATCCTATAACTGACCCCGTACTATACCTTACACATCTCGGTGTTTTCCGTGTGCCAGATTACTGCTTTGGGGAATAATGCTGGAAGGACACTGTTGAATTACACCATCGCCATAACACGTATGTATTATTACCAGCACGTGCCGTCGTGCCTGAGGAACTAAGCACAGCACTGCAGCCTGTATCGACCAGCTCTACTTGTTTGGCTTTGTATCAACAGGAATCGTTTTGTTTTTATTATTGTGCTTTCCAATTTCCTATGTAAAAACACAATGTCTTTAAGAATATTCTGTTAGATTTTTTTTTAGAAATGACACAATTCTATGACGACAAACACACGTGTTTTTGAATCATTCAATTTTGACATGAGGCCGAATGGGCCTGTACAGGTCATCTGCTCAGCACGTTATAAATAGATATAAGATAAACGAGTCAGTTATGATACTAATACTTTCCTTGTAGATCATGCTAGAGACAAAACTATGACGTCATGATGAATACGCGGACATACTTCGCACTAGTGACGTTGTGAGTACATTTATATGTCAGTAATTCATCGGAACACACTTTAATGCCCGTCCTTCTACAACGTTACTGACTAAATGCAATGACGTCAAGCTTCCTGGTCATCCAGATGTGTTTTATTTATAGATTTGGAAATTTTTGAATTTTTTTCTCGTAGCCCAAATTCTTTCATCCCAACATATGATACCACGACCCCTGGGGTCTTCGTTCTACAGAGGTTGCCATTTTACATGTTAAAACCTGGACCATATCTCATCCATTAGAATATCATCTTAGAATTAGTCAAGGTCATTCTGGTATACTGCTGACATTGTATTATAACTTTATGTCTCCTGGTATTCAAAAAAGATTGTTAAAAAATTCAAATTTGACATCTGGCGTTGAAAGGAGATAAATTTCTTTCGTTTGTATATGTCTCTGACTAAAATTAGTACCCCTGTCTTCTTCGTTATTCAGTAATATTAGATAAGGTATGTTAAGGTCACTCATGAAAACAACTTCACATTGGCCATCATTCCGACATAGGCTATAGAGCATATACCTTGATATTGGGTGTAATGATCATCCGAAAAAGCCGTCTAAATACTTGAAGATATTTTACCCAAATCACCTCAAAAATATGTCAAGGTAACAGAATTGTAACATTTGGTCAGTTTCCTACCAAGATGATTATGTTCATCTTAGTATGAAACGTAGCAATGATCCTGACACTGGAAATTCTATTAATTTGACCCAACGTGACCTTGCAAGTAGGCGGAGGTCATTCATTTTTACAAACTTGATATACCTTTATTCCAGTTTGCTACTGGACAAAAACCACGAACAGCCGACGTTCGGATTTTTAGAGTGATATTTGAGGACAAATTTGACAAATGTGACTAGCGATTATCTATCTAAGATAAAATCCCCTCGTGCACGTGAGCTCTATTTCCTAACCCATTCCCTCTGCCTTTTCGCCCCCTGTAAGCGAGTTATTACCTTGGAGATGAAATGGTTGTTGCTAAATGGTTTCATTAACGAATCGTGCAATCGATAGGGAACTAATGCAACATTTCTTGTATTTGACCATATAGGTGTATTGATATTATCGATTGATCATTTTAACCGACATTAATCAGTCTCAGACTATCCTCAGGTGTCAGCGCTCAATCTTGACCTTCAAACTTTTTTTTCTCTTACATTCCACGTCCTGTTCGGTACGTGTCAGTTGTGGGTCTTTATCTGGTAATGGTAAAATTGTAGAAGAGTATTTTCATTTTAAAACAGAATTGTTGATTTTTTTTTAATTTACCATGATTGTATTTTGGACAACCTCCCTATCAGTGTACGAATCTGGATGTATCATCTTTAGTAATTTTACACTAAATCATACCACACCTAAACCTTTGCTACAGTACTATATTATTAGTTAATTCCAGCTTAATAATAAGAATTTCTATAACAATCCTGTATCGCTCACCTCTGCTGCTGAAGAAAATCAACAGACATACCAGATCAATTAAACTAGGGCAAAATATGAACAAAAGAAAGATTCACACGGAGACTCCCGAAAACAATACAAAGGGGGGAGGAGGGAAGGGAGGGAGACCAGGACCGAAATAGTAAACAGTTTCAGTTTCATTGACGACATCCTCTTTGTAATCGCTCAAATAATGTCAAGTTCCCATGTAAGAACAAGGTTAACAACAACGAAATCACCAGGCATGGAGTTGGAAGATTTTAATCCTAAGTCTTTGGACGATTTCAATGTAGGTCAAATTTATTCATTTGAATAAACTTGAAGCCGTGTATTAATGCATATTTGCTGGTACATTCGTGAACAAGGTATACACGCTTCTTTATTAAGATTAAGTTTTTCCGGGATTTAAACCCACTTGTGATCCTAAAAGCACGTCAATGGAATTCTAGTGGATTAATTCGGAGGCTAAACTTAATGACATTTGGAGTTTTGATTTTATGATGAGTTCATGTTGAGATTCAAATCCATTTCATCCCCGTGAGAAGCTGAAAGTAGTGCAAGGTTATGAAGTTGAACTTAGTTGACATCTCGTCCTCTCATTCTGGCCACAAATCAAGAGTTTATTTGCAAGCAGTTGTTCATACATCTGAGCACATGCTACCCGTTTGGCATTGAATGTTGGGATGAGTAAGGAAATAATCTGCAAACTTGATAGCTCATCATCACAATTACTGACCTTTAACCTGAACTCTAGGTCTCTTATTCATCGTGATATATATAAACAAAAACAAAAAACAAAAAAAAAAAAAAAAAACTCAACGCGCTAGGAAGTATATGCGGGTACCTTGGTTTATAATCTGTGAAATGTTGTTTGAAAGAACTTCCGAAACATAATTGTAAACTGCTCCCCTTTTTGGTCGCAACATCGACATGTCCTGCAGACAATTTTTCTTGTGTTTGCAGGTACAGATATGTACTATGCTGACCTACCTTACTGGTAGTTTAGACTGTTTAGATTTAACCGCAACACTTCTAAAAACATTTAAACTTGAAATGTTTTGTGATATTAGTTGTTTTAAGATGACTTTTCAATAAAACATCGACAACGCATGTCACAAAGGGTGTTCATCCCATTCAGATCTCAGTGTAACAAACAGGCAAATTGGCACTGAAAAAAACGAAAAGTTTGCGCCAATATAATGTTTTACCCCTGTAAGTTATAGTTTAATCCTATCTTCGGTACTCCTGGGATTACAATTACTTTCGTTCTCTTCACCACTGGAAAATGTCATGGCAAAATTAAAGGCACAGGCGAAGTAATTTGATTGGTTCCAGGAGAAAACAATTGACCAATCTTAGACTGAATGCTCTTTTTGAAGATTACGAAGGAGTGAAATCCAACATCAAAGTCAATGCAGTATACCGTTATTCAACGACGAAATTGTTTGTTGTACATCAAAGATCAAACTAGTCTTTTCGTTTTGTCCACAAGGTGTCGCATATGAAACCTTCAATTTCGCCATTGTATGTTCCAGGGGCACAGACATTGATTGTAACCCCTGGAGTATTGAGGTTGGGGTTATCCGTGGTCAGTATATATACAAATATTTCTATGTTGCATTATGGTTTCCCTTAATCCCAGTGTTAAAAATCTCGATTGTATTCAGGTATATAGAGACAATATCGAGCACAAGACAAAATCATGACCTCATTACCGTGCCATGTTGACTTGGTGTAAAATCATTAATTATCGTGGAGGATTTATTTTTTAGGAGGTACTCTTTATCCATGAATGTCTTTGTCTGCAAACTATTAAAATTAGCATCAGCAGATTTATTGAGCTATTTTGATCCACGAAATTAATGCTCACGAAATAGTTATTAAAAGATGCACGAAAATTGAGTCCTATGGAAATAAATTTACAATGTATTTTATAGATCAAATTATTTAAAAAAATTAGGAAACCATTTATACACGTGACAGAGCGAGACCTTTGACCTTTGACCTTTAAACGATGACTGACGCATGAGAGTAACCACTTTGACATAAGGTGCGATATTTCATCTTATTAGACTACGGTTGGGAAAGTAAAGATTGTTTCAAACTAAAACATTTCACATTTAACGTGGTTATTCAAAACGTGATTTACTTTACTTAAACAATGATCACAAATAATTTCATTAAATTATCGAGAGAGATCTAGAAATCGATGTTTTGATCAGTGTATATTTTGCACCCACGTTAAGCTCCTTAGTGAGAAAAGACGGACATACAGACTCACGACTCCACTATATAAAGTAGCTGTTACCTGAGAAACAGAAGGAATAAAACAGCTATATAAATATGTCCTTGGAGAAAGACGAGGTCAGTTTTGGCATTATGATCATAATAACATGTACATTATATATTCTTATTATATATCTTAGTCTACACAGACAGTATACATGAGACATAGTTACATCGAAATATCTATTTTTACTCACCATGTGTAAAACAACACATTTCGTCTGCATCACACGTCTGCATACGTTTTTATCAAGGTTCTAGGCGACATTGATCACACGCAGGTACCACTCCCACGGACTGTGTACTAGAGAAAGCGTTGTGAATGGCGTTAACTAAGCATATGTCTTGTGACAAGGTTCTTGGGGACATCGATCATATAGCACTTATGAGTATGTACCAGTTACAAGGTCGTAGAAGACATTGATTATATTCCACTGCAGAGGATCGTATACTAGGAATAATGATGTTGACAGTACAGCACTCCACCAGACTGTAGAGTGCTGAGGTTACAGTGTATATATCACTCCACAGGACTGTATACTAAAAACTAGCGCCAGGACACTGTCTACATGAACATCACTTCGATGGACATTTATAATTACAGGATTCTCTGCTGGGTGACGTACACTAGGTGTATATACCACTTCAGAGGACCGTTGATCGAGAAAAGATTCTGAACGACGAAAATCAGGCGCCGATCATGATAACCACATCATGATAACTGTGTTGACTAAAGACTACTCAAGAGTTTGGATGACGTAGATATTATCAATCCCGACGAATGAATACCTTGACAAGGTCCTAATCAAGCATACACCATCGGTAAGGACCGTATACTGTTACACGGGACGATGTCGACAATATTCGCCGATCCCGCGGACCGAATACCGCGACAAGGTTCTGGACAGTGTAGACTTACACATTTCACGAGTGATAACAGTGGACTGGACAATATCCATGGAGATACCGACTTGTATATATCTGTACTGACGACAGTGGACTGGCCAAGGTTCTGGACAGTGTAGACTTACACATTTCACGAGTGATAACAGTGGACTGGACAATATCCATGGAGATACTGACTTGTATATACCTGTACTGACGACAGTGGACTGGCCAAGTTTCTGGACAGTGTAGACTTACATGTTTCACGGGTGACAACAGTGGACTGGCCAAGGTTCTGGACAGTGTAGACTTACACATTTCACGAGTGATAACAGTGGACTGGACAATATCCATGGAGATACCCACTTGTATATACCTGTACTGACGACAGTGGACTGGCCAAGTTTCTGGACAGTGTAGACTTACATATTTCACGAGTGACAACAGTGGACTGGCCAAGGTTCTGGACAGTGTAGACTTACACATTTCACGAGTGATAACAATGGACTGGACAATATCCATGGAGATACCGACTTATATATACCTGTACTGACGACAGTGGACTGGCCAAGGTTCTGGACGATGCCGACTTCATTGGACAAGGTTCTATAATAAATAGACTTCACACCATCCCTATGGCCGTTTTCACTCTCATCGAAGACTTCGTACATCAGATTTCCACGAATCGAATATTCTAGTAACGAGGTAAGGGACAGTAATACTGTTGATTTTCATTGAGAATTGAATACTCGTGACAGGTTTCAGACCGAAGGTATCCATACAATACACACTAGGGGCGACCACCACGACATTTCGGTCTAATTTGTCCATACGGTAAGCGTACATGTAACGTTGTATTTTATGGCGAAAAAAAACCCTCACTCCTGAGGTCGATTTATTAACAACTTCAAGATAGGAACGCGTTTGTTTGTTCCACATCTTCATTTCCGAGACTAAGCGACGATCTGTTTCAATTCACGTGGGTTCGCACGAACTTCATTTGTCCAAACTTCGTCAAGCCTTGACAAAACTACAAAATTCTCGATTTCCGGAAAAAATTAACTCTTCCTTTATTCAATACTAATATAGTTCAACTTTAAGATGTCATTGAGGAACTATTGAAAACGTCCATATATATACCATGACGTCACTTCTTGTGAATTGACGGATATATAACCTCTTTGACAACAATGGCCGAGGACGTTGATAGTGAGTGAAAGAACATATGCCTATTTCGATATGAAGACTGTTTTATCGAAATAATGATTGAAAACATGTTCCTACAATGTTAGCGGTTTCATATCTATTTCCTGTAAAAGAGTTTTAACATTTCTTCCGATAATCAATTTGACAAGACCTTTAGATAAATCAATAGATGAAAAATCGATGAACAATCACAATAAGATTAATGGTATGAACTATCAGCCACTATATCTGCCAATCAGCTGATCGATTTTACTGTTGCTGTATGAAGGCTATGTGACCAGTTACTCAGAAATACTAATTTATTATTTATTTAGCGGAGGGACTTTTTTTAATGCGCATTCAGTTTAACCGTAAATTTGTGACGCACATTTCATGCCAGTAAACATCTTAGTCCCGTATCGACCAGTTCTAAAGTCGGAGGCATTGTTTCACATTGTGAATCCATTGTCGATATATCGACATTTTAAAACAATGGTCCTACTTGCTTTCTAATTTCAAATAACTGTTTTATAAAATATAAAAATATAACAGTGTAAGGATCCAAATAAACCGGATGTCAAATTTTCCCAATTTATTGATTAGAAATAATAAATAATAACAATCTGTACAGAGGAGAAATGGCAGCTGTTTTTATGACGTTGTCGGAAGCAGTCCTCTCAGGCTTAATGATTCCAATGCTGAAATGAACAAGAATGTTGAATATAAATTTCTGGTGTACCGTTCTTTTATATATTATACCCCTGGTAAATCGTATGACTATATCATCTCATGTAACCATATTCCACATAACCCCTGTAATGTTTGATACGCCATTTAATCCAATATGAACTCATTACTCGGAACACATACCATACCGGCCTACGATCCATTGGAGTCTGAGTTACGCCACGTGACCAATAAGAAAACACTTTCTCGTTTAAGTCATATGACTAATTGAATATTAATAGAACTACAACATCTTCTTATCTAAAAATTAATGACGCCACAGCATTTCCCAAAATATCCAGAATAAAATAAATCGCGGACATGACTCATAACTCTAAAGAACATTTCGCTCTCTCGACCTATGACCTCTAACCTGAGATAGCGCCCTGGAAGCCGGAGTTGTAGTCGCATGCCACCTCGTTGTTGACATAGTTCTCACGGTTGTCCTTGTAGTCGTCAGACTGACCAGGACCTCCAACGAGAGCGCCATACAGGGTGTGAGGACTGGGTCCTGCATTCTTCAGGTCCGCGTGAGAACAAGGGGCGGGCATTGAGGGACAGGACCTATGTACATATAACACAATAAATGAAACGGAGCAGATTGTCCGAAACATACCCAGAACATGAGTTGATGAGAGAAGAAAGATATGATTCATAAAGCGATGACGGATTTTCCAGGATATGTCCGGCACAGGTAGCGGGCATAGAAGGACAAGAACAACATACAAATCAATTTGATACACGGATCTTCTTGGACAGAGATCGGAAGATAAAGGTTGGAAACTTCTCTGGGAAAACAAAATTCATTAAGCGAGAATCGGGACAAGAAATCTTGATTAGAAAGATAGCATTACAGACGGAAACTACGTACAAAACACTCTTTATTGGGAACAGGGGAGTGGTCATTGAAGGTCAGTAACTACGTCAACAACATACACGTGCATGTAATTAATTAATCTGCACAAACGTAAATATCGGTTAATACAAGTTTTGTGGGTAGATCAACGATACACAACAAACCAGATAAGTTTTGTACAATAAACCAGCGAGTAAAACTCACTGTACAGTACATCAAAGTGAAGAAGTATGTTTAGGTTATTTACCCTCGTTGGCAATGTGGTGTTAAAATGTTTCGTATATGACGTAACTTTTAACGATCCGCAATTCTAAATAAGATTTTCCTTTTGATCAGCAATACTCTCCCATGGGATATGAGCCAGGTAAATAAATCTGAGGTCTGACTTATTGGAAAATACATTATTGATCAGGTTTGTACAGATACTTTACAAACTGACGCCTTTAAATCCTAGAAGGTTTGCCACACACTGCCGCGTCATCTCGCGAGGACTAACGTAAAAAAAATAAAATACAAAATAAAAACTAAAAAATATATATATATACATAGAGAGAGAGGATCTCACATGAGTGTCAATGTATTATGGAATTTATTAAACGAGTTCAATAATTTGATATGCCACGAGCCGATAGGCGATAGAGAAAACGGGTCGGTTATGTGATAAATATATATATATATGATGTTATTTAAAGCGTTGGCGATTTCGGTTTAATTTTTGTAATCAACTATGTACTACCAACTCCTAGCTCCGACTGTTAATATTCGTTGGTTAAACACCTGTAAAACTACATCATTCTCGGGTCGTCTGATCCCCAGGTTAGTACCCGGATGTGCGTTTTACACTGTAGTACTTACGCAGCTCTGTGGTGAGGGTGAGTGGGTGGGTTGACTCCATAACCAACAACAAAACTCCTTCCGGTATCTCCGAGGGCGTAGTGTATCTGAGACATCGCCCATGCGCGGTAAGCATCGCTGTGTATACCATCCTCGGCAGCTATCAGCGCCATAAACGCCATGTTTGCTGAGAAATATTGAGATATTCTAAAAGGGCTGTGTGCAAAAACGAGAAATGGTCAAAAGCACCTGTATAACAATCAGTTTGAGATATTTCTAAAAAAAAAAAAAAGTTCCTTTTCTGTATAAGGTTCGCACTGTACGATGAACCGGATGTAGTTACCAAAGAATCGGCGAGAAGAAATTACGACGTAAACATGAGGTAAAAGAATCCCTTTAATTTTAATCTGGCATGAGTCCAAACATTGACAATCGTTTTTGGAAGGTTTACAGACACAACGGAAATATATGAACGTTCTTTACACTGACAATATCACATTGTCATTGGTATTTGTAAACACGTGTGATGTCATGAATGGTGTGCTGACTTCAATGCTGCTCCCGAAAACACTCAGAATTCTTATTCAAAGCTAACTCAACTAAAAGCCATAAATATACCAATAAAAAATCAACTTAAATCACACATAATGACAGACAGTACGACCGGGTCAGAGTAATGCAGTACTAAGGCAACGTTACAAACTTAGCTTTACATGTTTTAATTTTCGTTTTGGATCCCGGTATGTGAAATGGTAAACTCGTTATGTCCAGAGGGTCTGTGTACCTTCAAGAAACGATTGTGGATGGTTAAGACTTTGTGACAATTTTCGAAATGTAATTAAAGGGGTTTTCGTTTGTTTTCGTCGTTTTTTTTCGGTCTTTACATTGGTAACTGTATCCTGCCCGCCAAATAGTTTGATAATACAAGGCATAGCTTCAACCAAGTAGGTAATATGAGATCTTACAGGTAATGCATGTTTCGTAACCGAAGGTTTTTTTTATTAACTGATACTTCAGTACCGGACAGGCATAAAGTATGCCACAAAGACCTCCTTAGATAAGAATGTTAATATGCTTCAATCGATAAAATATGAATACATGTATTTGTCCATATTTCTTATTGAAGTTCTGAAGTAGAAGTTACGGATCAATGATGTTTGACATTCGCATCACAATTTGTTTATGCTTCGTTGAATACATGCTGAATGCCACTTCTAGTCATGATATTTTTATGGTGTTAAATCTTATTTTTCCCGGCTGTAAATCACCCACATGAGTATCTGAGAGCTCCCCACTGAAGTCTAAACGCTAGCCCCTTTGGAGTATACGGCACGCTTCCTCCTGGCATCCAGTCGGTGAATGTCGTCTCGATGTCTTGCAGGTAAGCGTCTTTTCCTGTCAGTTCGTACAGAAGAATCTGCAGATCAACAAAATCATGTGTATTTGATTTATTTTATCCCAACAAGAGAGTCCCTGACATGGAGTATACGAGATAGTTTGACAGATAGAAGAAGCTGGCGAGTGGACTGAGAGCACATCAGCTGTCACTTCAAGTATGGATATTTTTCACTTGAGAAATGTTTCAGTAACTATATCAAGAAAGAGAGAGAAGTATTTAAAGAATATATCATTAGGAACATTCAGAAGGCAGGAGTGTTGACATACATTAGACGTTTTGGGAAATCGAACTGTGATTTGTAATTTCAAGTGGTTAGTTTTTTGATTACCTGTAAGTTTTGTCAATCCTGCCCAACTTTTTCCCCACCTTTAAAACTCGTGACCATTAATTACCGAAGAGCTGGCAATTTTTTCGTCCCACGATTGGCCCCAAGCGCCGCCGCTGACGTACCAGTGTTCTGCTTGCGTGAGGTAATCCGTTTCGTTGGTGACTTTGTATAACCACGCCCCCGCCCAAGACAACTCGTCCTCATAAGCGTCAGACCTGGAGATAAAAAAGACATCTCTCGTGGGGTTCGTGCATAAATTTCATCGAGGGAACCTTACATATATAAAGTTGCTGTTCTTAATGGTTCTTCACTCTGTCGATTGTGAAAATTCAAAAATGGATACCCGTTCGAAACCGGAAAAGTTAGAGGACGAAAAGAGAAACACATTGCGGACGGTACGGTATGGCAGAAACTCGTCTGCATACAATTTCAGAACATTTTATGGTATAACGCTGTTCGTCCGCCGCAATTCTGTCTCGAGATTCCACTCAGTTTTCAACTCATACGGTGCCAGCATGGTATTCCGTTGTTTTACTAAATGGTATTTTGATTTCAGAGTTATTGAACTTTTTCTCCGTGTTTTATTCTCAGTCTTGTTTGTTGCATACCTTTATTACCGTTATTATTACCTTCTTATTTCTTTTCATCATCTCCAGATTGAAGAATTCATAAACAGAGCAATATATTTTACATACAAATTTTAGATATTAAGAACAATAAATCATGCAATATAGATTATCATTATTGATCTACAATATATTTACAATGTGTACATTCCTGTTTACTATCATTAGCGATATCCTACAAATATAAATACACGTAAGTGATAAATACCATTTAGACTTCGAATTAATACTCCAGCATATTCGAAAGGTTACATTGAGAGTAATGATAAAAATGATGAGATAAAAGATTTTTTCACATTACAAAACAGATGGTATGACGACTAAATTGACTTTTGTTGTTTTGAATGTGATGTTGCTGAGGTCACTGTAGGCTAATACACATCCTAAGATTATAACATCACAATTTGACGGTTAAGAGCTAGTTACCTGTAGTAACCTGCGGCCGCGGTCACACTGTCGCTGTAACGTCCATGGTATTTGGTCGCAAAGTCGTTCAGCTGCTTGGCATGGGTAAGGAGCTTCGTAGCGAATTCTGGGTCTATCAAACAAACAAATGTTTTGGATTTTTGTACAAAATATCAAATAACGTTTCCTGGACTCTTGAAGAAACACCTTGAAGGAGAGTAATCTTATTCTTCTCTTCAATGGACACCTCAAAATCATAAAAAAATTAATGAATAAAACATTCTTATCCATAGTGCGCAATAAATGAATTGGCGGTATTCTTTGTATGTATCGTCATATTCTTCCGATTTCGACCAAACACCAGAAAAAATAACATTGAAAGACTGTTAAAAGTGCACGCAATAACCTTTGTCCTTGAAAACCAGATAACTAGCAGCCATTGCGGCAGCATATTCTGCAGCAACGTCACTTCCTGGTTTCGTTGCGTCGACTTTATATGCAGGTCTTCTCATGGTCATCTCTTCCGGTCTTCCCCAATACGCGTGATCGGGACCGCCATCTCCAACTTGGACATATAGTTCTTCAGGTGCTGTGTGACATTTCAGCATCCATTCAAGAGGCCATCTTATGCAATCGTATGCATACTCCATCTGCCCTGCGTGCTCGTAAGCGTCTCTAAATCTCAACATACTCCACGCGAGCAAGGTAACGGTGGAAGACATAGGTAGACCGAATTTTACATGGTCACCTGCTAGAATTGATAGAAATAAAGCAATTGATAACAGGAAGTTATATAAATCATAAACAAAAATAACAACATTTAATATTCTCTAGTTATAATGCTTCTAGTAGGATGTTATCTTATTAAATTATTACAATATTACGTAAAATTATTGAGGTTTTAATTGATTTGGAATGTGAGCTAAGCTTTCCTTTTAACTCTACATGTTTACGCTTGCGGACGTGACGTCAGAGCAAGCTTGCCGTACCGTCATACCAGCCCCCAGTGAGATCTTCCCCGTTTAGTCCTCGGTCGGTCAAGGCCGAATCCCCTCTCCATGGTATCCGATTGGTTGGAGGTAGTTTCCCTGACCGCTGGGCCTCATAGAATAGAATCGACTTCTCTAATATCTCATCATAATCGTACTTCGTATCCGTAGCTGAAAATAAAGAATAGAGCTTCCCTTTTATACTGGGTGTGTACGCGGTGCGTGTTTTTGTTCGGCCAGCTAATTAAATCAGTGCAACCAAAGGGTTCCCTACAATAATATGGTAGTTGGTAAACTGAGTATGTAGTTCCCGACAAATTATATTTAATGCTAAAGATGTATAAAAGATATCATACTGTTGTAACTATATATATTGCTGCTATTAAGACAGAAACGATAATGTTTAACCATAAAAATGTTGGGCTTTGTGATGGAGATACTCTCATTTTCGTTTGAAATGGTTTTTATAACAGGGGAATCGGGGAATCATTCTTCCTTGCTGTTAAAACATAAATTAATACCTTTGATTTCGTATAAAGTAGAAATATTGTGGGTGTGAACAAAGCTATTTTTGGCTACTACATCTAATGTCTAATACTGTACCTACACGGAACAACTGTCGGAACTGTTTGTCCGTCTTTCGCGAAGTTAATTAGCTCGGCCACAGCTGTAGGCGCTGTATCGCCTGCAAATTGTCCCTGAAAGACAATGTCGAGCGTCGATCCCGGAAGTGCAATGCCATACTCTGGTCTGTTGTTTATAATCCACAACAACCCATCATCAGATTTTTTCACGACTTTTCCAATCTTGTCATCCATCTCCTATCAATACAACGATAAAACAGGTCGACGTGACGTCATGATCTACTAAATAATATCAGAACAAGTCTAACCCTGTTATTACCAATACCATTCAAACACCTCACGTGCTGATATCGTACGAAATGTCCAAGTAAACTTTATGACTGAAAAAAATCAATTAAAGATGCATGAATTATGTGTTATCGAACTACATGTAAATTTAATACCTTCAGCAATGGTACAAATGTACAATGGTACAATCGCCTGAAGATTGCCGAGACACGGCTTGAAAACGTTAGTGATAATAATAAGTTTATTTGCCTTGTTGGCCTTTTATGTTTATATATATATATATATATATATATGACGATACGCAAGTGATTATGTAAAGCAAATTGTTTTCAAAAACACACAAGAAAAAGTTAAGTTAGCTAAGCTGTGAAAACGTTATGCGAAATGCTGACTTAACATTTTCTTGTGTGTGTGTTTTTTTTAACAATTTTCTTTATATATATATATATCAGCCCATTAAAGTCTGTGTTGTTTGTTCTTCAGTTTCCAAGGTTTACATTTCGTGAGGTAAAGGTGTATGGTGGTTATAGAGTAACAAATAAAATATTATAATAAAATTAATGAAATAGAGAAAAGAAAACCAAACCAAAGTGCTGAGCTGTAGAGGGAAGAATAATGATTAAAAAATAGTTATCAAAACATCCAGAAACACAGAGTTTATATGAAATGCAGAACAAAACAAAGACAAATATTGGACTTTTTGATGCCATCCAAATTACCTGACCGTACCCGTTTTCTTGAAAGATGTATTATAAAGTAATAAAGAGCTTAGGGGTGGAAATCTAGTTAGGATCCTATGGACAAAAAATTGATTTCTCGGGAACATCATCCAATTCTAATGATATTGGTATAACTCGTGGTTCGAAAGGTTTTCATACAAATTTAAATACCAGAGAAGTGAAAATATACAGGTTATCACAACTTAGAATCGCCAGAGACCTGGCCCCACTTGTATAAAATAACTCAAGCCCAGATTTTCCTCAGCTAATATCTCCTTGAAAATATCTTGTATGAAAATTCCTCAAGGAATTTCAGGACATCCTAGCCGATGACTTCCTCCTGTTCCTTGAGAAAATTTTATACAAGCCGTTTTAGAGGAGATATTAGCTGAGGAAAATCTCGACTTGAGGAAAGATACGACAAGTGTTTACAATTCCCTTCCGACTTCCGCTTACTATTCATTTGTAGCACAAATGTTATTTTCGAAAATGTCTACATTGAAATAATTATTTCAGAAAATGCCCGTTTTGGAACTTGCGAAATAGTCACATTAAGATATCTACGTATATGTTAATGAGTTGGTGTGTTGGTACGTCCCTCGGGACCTGTATATAAGGTACAATAGTACCTGATACTGTATCGGTTCATTAAGGATTCTGAGAGTTCTATAGCCGACATAGAACAGATTATCACATGATGAAATTGACCTTGAGTGCTGCTTGTCTCGTGAGAATGTTGACCTCTAGTGTTGTGGATCACGTAAGAGTGTAAACGAGAACACACGCAATCGAATAATTACTGGACACCAAATGAATCGTTGTACTAGGCCAACAACATTGTGATTTGCGTTGTAAATGTTTTCTGATGATTAAAAAAATTCCCAAAGTTTAAAGCGTCATGCATCGCAGTCATGCGTTGTATCAAATTCCTTCATACTAACGCACTCGCCTTTCACCTATTCGTCCGGGTTCGATTCCTGGAAAGGCTCGACCACGTGGGCACTCCGGTTTCCTCTCGCATTAAGACCCTTCGCGCGCTATTATTCAGATCAAGATGAGTTGTCTTTTTTTCCAATTTAAAATAAATAAAGTTAATTTTTATAGTTATTAATTTCTGTGTGTTTATCATCTTAATGCTCCCAAATCAACACTAATGATATTCCACATACACCGGGAAAAAGTTATTACCATGTTATCGGAGACGCCCTGTATATCTGTTTAGATACAATTGTAGATGGAATTCGTATACCCTACGACAGTGTGTACCAGTGACCCAAATTCCGTTTTCATCGCCTTCAAATGTCCTTAGTTGTTTGTGAGGATGTAAATACGACTAACCCTTTCTTTCAAATGAACACATGAAAGTGTTTAAGGTATCCAGTCCTGATAGACTCGACTCTCTACTACTCTGAACTACTTTTTAAGTAAAGCGGACTGTTTCCGTTTGTTTCATTAGTATTCTCTGTCTTCCAATACCTGATGAAGACTCGGAGAGATTATTGTCAGTATTGTTATGAATTATTCATGCTACTATCTATTTTTTTTTCAAACATGCAATGCATCTCACACATTTGACACACAAAATATTAGTGTGAATGGCTGATATATATTACAGAATTAATAAAACACAAGTTCGATGTCTTAAATATTATAAAACTGAACAGTAACGGAAACGGGATAGAAGGACCAAAACACGAAAAAAGAAAGGGAAAAAAAAAACCGAAGGTAAGTAGGCGAATAAACATTACTTATAGAGTTGTGCACTTCTGAACTTCTGAACATACCACTCGAAATGATGACGTCACTCTATTGAATACGTCATTATAAGCCGAATTCTTACCTGGATTCTGACCATAGGCGAGGAGAACTTGATGATAAGTTCCCAACCATCAATCAGCTCATCAGCATGGAAGACGAAGTGACCTTTAATGTTGTTTCCCCAGTCGTGACCGCTGGTCATCGGCACATGGACAGTGTGACCACAGGCCAGTACGGCCGCCAATATGAAGAAATACAGCATCTTTCTTGGGAAAAAATTAAAAAAAAAAAACCCCGTAAAGTTATCAATACTCAGTGTTTACAAGAGTTGCTTCCCTTGGTAGAGGAATTTTATATTTTTTGTCAGAATGGATAACAAACTACGTGGATTGATCGTCGATGTTGACGTCATAACATTTATTTTCGACAACTATCAAAGTGTCTTATTAGACTGACAGATTTCAGGTTAGCTTCTGTAGCGTGCTGGGTCGAATTCCTGTGCTAAAATTAATGATGCGGACATTACAAAATATAGTATCTATATTTAAACAAGACCATTTATTTCGATTTATCGGTTATTTGTGTCTAGCACTGAATACTGGACCAAAATTAGTAACGGTAGGTTTTCGCGATGATCTATATACGGGTTAGCAAAAGTGATGTGACTAGCCACAGGCCTACATGTTAAAGGGGGACGTCTCTGATATAGCTATTAATACTACTAGTTTCTGTTAGACTAAAGGTTGATAATTATCCCCCTGATGAATGTACTGGTATCCTTGATGTAGAACATTGATATACAAAATTCACTCTTTTTCTTTATCAAGAGAGAAGTTAACTTCGTGTGAATATATTACCGAAACTATATTCATTCCTTAAAACGACTTTGAAATAATAATTGCAATGTTATTTCACAAAACTAGAGAAACATTGAACCAACTTTAGATAATATCAAGTTATATTATAACCAGTTTTGACTAAATTATCTAACTGATTTAACCGTTGTCATGGTAATAGGAACCAAAATAACTGGACTGTAGAAAATATCACCATGTAGCATTACAAGAAAAATATATAAGGTTATAAAAACAACCTATATCTTATATTTAAAATGTTTATTTTGATGGATATTGTGTACATATATCATACATGTAATATTTATTCTCTGTTTTATGCTGAGAGATTAATAATTTCAGAGCGCTTTTATTTGAGGCAGGTATCACGATGTAGATGGCCTGTAACTGAAAGAAACGCAACTTTCTCGCTGTTTACTGGGTCATGTTGTGGTCAGTATTATGACTGAATGGGATCCCTTACCGATATATCACAGGGACAGTTAATTTTGTCTGGACCCATCGGCCGTGGACGATTCAAAGCAAAGGCGAAGGGCGATGCCTCTTGCATGTAGTGAGTAAAGTTTCTGTCATTTATATGCAAAACAGGTTTATGTAGAATCGTGAAACAAAGACAATTGATTTTTTTACCATTGCAGACAGGTGATTAAATATCACAAACATAAAATTTACGCCGATGTTAAAATTACCTTACCAGTTACTACTTTGAAATGTATGCAAATAAAATAATTATATTACACATGTATTCTAATTTATTAATTAAATATACACAGTTGGAAATTGACAGCTGTCAAAATCCTAACACTGTTAGTGTAAGTCTATGTAGAGAACAGAGATGTGGATGATTACGATTTTCACGGAACGGAACCATATGACGCCTTTCCTTACCTGTGCGTCTCCGTCAGCGAGCACCAGTATTGTGTCAGTTCTTACGTTAAGAAGCCACTGCGTTACCACGTGATTTCGATTATGAAAGTTCAATTGGTCATCGTTCCAAATTGAAATGTTTACATTTGTCGACGGTACACAAGGGCGGTGCTGTCGCATCAGATGACCAAGATATACTTATCTAAGGAATACCTCTGTTGCGAGTTATTCAGAAAGATGAATATAGACTTATATAGAGTTACATAATCTGATTTACCATTATAAAAAATACACATTCTCGAATCCGAAGTGTATTTCAATATTGTGTAATTCAAAACTTTCAAACTCTTATGTATAGTACTTTGACGAAATAGAGGTGACGAGAGGCTGCGCACATACGAGTGCTTGGTGCATTAAGAACAGGTGAACTTATAGCTAAGAGGGTCAAAGTCAGAATTATAACAACTTTTTGAGATCAGCACCCCAAACCGACGAGAATACACCGATATAAAAACAAAAAATGAACAAACTTAAATTCGATGACTCGGGATATGCGATATGAACGAAGTACAAATTTTTGCGGAGACCCCTGAAAGTTAACGGAATGGCAAGCGTTTTTGTTATTTTTTGTCGCGTTCTTAAATGAGAACAAAGTTGACGACAACGGAACCACCAGACATACACAATTGCTAACGAGTTTGAAACACGTGATTTTATATCGCACAAGGAAATAACGTATTTTCTCACGAGATCATGATGACGATCATAAAACATCCTTAACTTGCATCTTTTACGGAAATCGTGATGCTGGGAACTGACAAACCATTAAATACTCATCAACTGCGTCGCGTGAACATCGTAGGTTAGAAAGCAGACTCCTTACCATCTAGCGATGTTAGATAACGGCGCTTGGTGGAAAGGTATACTTTTGGTTTCGTCGTTAGAAATTCTGTGGAAAACGGCAAATTTCGAATAAAAGCTGCTTTCATGCCCTTGGAGGTACGATAAGGGGATTCCAACCCAAAGGCAAAATGATTAAGTTGACTAACAGGAGTTTTTCTAACTCTGAATGGTATTTACTATAAACATGTCAATCAATCTTACTATATCAAACAGGTTCAATGATTGTAATTATGAAGCTTGCCGAGCCAGAAGTTCGTCTCCTGAATTATGTTTCTTCAAAAACATCCGTCAATATCACGATAGGATATGCTTTCTCTTCAGAGCTTAACCAAGGAGATCCATGTATTAGCTGTTTTCAAAGCACGTTTGTACTGGTGATCTGACCGGGAAACGATCGCTAATGAGTATGGTACAGAGTGAATTTGTAATTCTCGATTAAACTTGCAATCTTTTGTAAGATATCGATGTTCCTGGTTTATACCATGGTAATGAATATCATTTCTGTTTATCTATAGAATAATTTGTAGAAGAAAACAAGTTATGGAATTTTATGTGATAAAAGTGTCGGTACTTCCTTCTCGGTCTATTGTGTCATGAAGAATTTACAGAAAAAAACATACACTAAAAACAAGAAGCTTTTCTACTGGTTTTCCTATCTGACAACATTGAACACTTTGATTTTATTGTAATATTTCGGACGAACCGCGGTTGTGAACTGTATGAAGTGACACATTGCCTTACTGATAAGGCTTACAGGTTTAGTAGAGGAGATAACACCAACACCAAGGTCTACCTCTTCTCGATGACATCGTTACCAATCTACAGGTACACACAATGGCTACCAAACTTGTGTTATTTCAAGTAGCATTTACACATCATTCTTCTTAATTCTATCATTTTTATCTCGTAAAATAATTTGTTCGTGATGTATCCGTCAATAGGTTCTCTAGTATCTGCTAGTAATCTGTTTATTTTTGTCTTTTCATCAAGTGTGTATATCTGTGTTTAGTGTAATATCCTTCACAGTTTTGGTCAAGGAAAAACCGGTACTCGTTTGAAAAAACTTTGGTTTAAATTGTTGATGATACATGATGTATCGTTAATGATACCGAGCGGCGATATTTTGTGTACGTTTCGTGAACTAAAAAACTGCATTTCTTGTCGTTTAATTGATAAATCCAGTACATTTCTGTTGATTGTCGGTGTATTGCTGACCTCGACCCATAACACCTCTGATCGCGCATAATCACCTGATAAGTCATGTCCACAAGTCAGTAATATATTTTGAAAACATCGACAACATAATTAAAGGTTAAATTTACTGCATTTGTCAATAGTTATTAAATATGGAAGATTTTATAAACTTTTAGCAGTCGGGATCAAATCGTCACAAAATACGACTTTTGTATATTTCAGCTGTAGACAGGGGACTTAACCCATTCCTGAATTACCTTATATATCCATTTTAAGGGTTCACTCTCATGATAGGCAATACGTGTTTTAAATGTGCAACTGATAAGATGTTAAAAAAACGAGTTGTTGTTGTGATATGACATCGTCGCCTTGTCGAAACGAATGATTGGAAGAGGAAAGTCTGTTGTTTAATTCAAATCAACGTCGTGAGAAATATACAGAAAACAGTCCTTCAACATATTTTTGTAGGAAAATGGCTGTCGGCCTTGTTGTTATTCTGACATCCTTGTTGCCCTGTCTACACGCCTCGTTGCCTGTTATGGCTAGTGTCAGTTTTACCGGGATGCACGACTGGGGAAACAGATTCGAGGGCACGCTTGTGTTTCCGGTAGAAGAGGAGGTGTATGGTTGGAAGGTTACGATAGATTTTAACTATCCCGTCATCCTACAGCTCAGCGTAAGTAGGTCACTGTATCCCTCATCTTAGGTACTATAGGGTATCCTGCATGAGCCAAGAGAAAAATATCAGGGCTCGTATTCATGAAACCATTCTCATGCTCAAGCATAGGTTTTGTGTTCAAGCAAACTGTTTTATAATTCACCTAAATCATATAAAATAATACAAATGTCAAATTTAAACCTTGAATATAGCTTTGACTTGAAGTCTTTTCAAAATTGATTTTAAGTCTTTGGCAAAATCAGCCTTATTTATTAATTTTTAACTTAAACAAGACATAAGACTTGAGCACAAAATCCATGCTTGAGCATGAGAACGGTTTCATGAATACGGGCCCAGGTGTCAGCTGCACGGACAATATCCGTTTATTTATTTAGAACGAAGAGGGCTAATGAAGAAAGTGATTTTGTTGGTGATTTTTAATTATCAGATTTTCTAGTGAAAAATCTTGTGTTTTTCGTTTGATCAATATTTGATTTAAAATAAGAAGTCACGTTTATTGAAACACTCTATACAAGAGCTGTCTGTTGACAGTCACTCTTACTAGTAACGATTATCACCATGTAAAACATACAGGCATGCTTTTAACAATATTAACACTATTTTCTTTAGAAAGACCCATTCTTTATTTTAGAAGATATGAAATCTGATTTTTGCGGTTAACTACCACTGAGCCATATTTTGAAAAAAATCGAATTTTGTCTTGTTTAATTTTTACCGTTTCTGAAATTTTTGTATGGAGAAGGAATTTAACCTTCACTCTGGTTTACTGAACAGCACGAGAAGACAACCATTCACAGTTCTTCATTTGACAAAAAAAGGTTTGTGTTGGTCAACAACCTCAGTCACGGAATTATGCATGACAATTCCACGTTGGCAATGACTATCGGCGGCCAGTACAACCGTTCGACCTCTGACCCTCCAATAACAGCCACCGCAACATTCGTGAACCTTATACATGACGGCCAAGTCGTGATTTCAGCATCACCAGCAGGTAGGATGACAAATATCAAATATTCATTATACCGTTTAAAAAATATCTGGTATGTTTCGAAATCAACATTTTTATTATAAATAGAAAATGACATGTTGAGGTTAATTTAATTTTTTTAAAGTGATTTTGGAGAGTAATAATTGTGGAATGATAATGCATTTCAGGCAGATTTAATTGAACTAGCTCCAAAACGACTTAAAACGAGAACAGTTTGGAGCTCTGACTACTGCGCGATCATTCGCAAGTGATGCCTTTCTCTTCGTTACACATACACTGGCGTTGTATGTATAAATGCACCTATTGTATAAAGTTATATATTTGATCCTACCTTTTAAGTCCCGTCCGAGAAGTACAACTATGCTGAGGTTCTGGAGAAGTCGATTCTTTTCTATGAAGCTCAGCGGTCAGGTAAACTACCTCCTACTAACAGGATACCGTGGAGAGGAGATTCAGCACTGCTCGATCTCGGCGAACATTTCGAGGATCTCACTGGGGGGTGGTATGACGGTATGTATGCTGTATTGTTATAAACGAGAGCATTAGGAAATCCTCAATGAATTAAAAAATAGATGACGATTTATATATATCAACTTTACATCAGTGATAATTGTATCAGTTCCGTGAAAATAGTATAAATATACCATAAATACGCGTTTTCAGTTCTTATATATATATATTTGAACGTTTAAAACAATCGCAATTGAAATCTTGCAGCAACAAGGCTTTTTATTCGTTAATTTAGTTAGTTGGTCAAAAGTTATTTTGTTAGTTACATAATGAGTTAATTGATAGTTAGTTGATGGTTAGTAAGTTAATGAATGGTTAGTTTGCTAGTTACGTCGTTAATTGATAGTTAGTGAGTTAAGTAATTGTAAGCTTATTAGTTACTTACTTAGTTAATTAATAGTTAATGATTTGGCTGTTTATGGATAATATCTGGTGGTTGTCTCAACTATGCTTACTAGTTGACGACATCTAATTTGAGAAGGACATCAATGGATTCCTAAGTGGGCATTACGATGTTATGGAAATTTACACGGTACTAAAAAAGTAAAATATCTGGTTTATAAAGATTCATGTATCGAAAACACGAAGATTATTATCATATATTTTATAGATTTATCTTTTACAAGAAAAACTAAAGTAGGAAATATCCTTGGTGTTTGTCATCACTATGTTTCCTGGTGACATATAACCTTGTTAGTTCCTAACACTTACATGTACTTATGCTGTAGATGAATGCTATTTATTTGATTATATGTCAGCTGGTGATCACATCAAGTTCGGCTTTCCTATGGCTGGAAGTGTATCAATGCTGGCCTGGGGTCTTATTGAGTTTAAGGACGCTTATGCTGCCGCTGGACAATTGGACTATATGTATGATTGTATCCGCTGGCCTCTCGAGTGGTTGATGAAAGCCCATACTAGTCGTAACGAGCTTTATGTTCAGGTCAGGCCAGATTTCATGTCCATAGCTGTGAAATGTTTGTAAGATGATGTCCTATCATTAAATTACATAGTTAGATTGTTGATGTCATTACAGAGATTCTTTTGATGATATGCGTAAAAAAAATCTGCATTTTGAATATCGACAATTTTATGACAAGTTTCTGGCATCACGCTGAATTGATGATAGGTGACGTCATGACATTGCTATAATTCAAACAAGAAAAAACCAGCTGCATTTGGTGTGATGAAACATAAATTAAAACAAAAATCACGGAATGTCTCTAATCACAGTGATAAAGAAAAAACGTGTGATAAGATATACCAATGGATGCCAATACATTTGGCATATTTACCTGTATAAATTGTTTTGTATTGGACTGAAATCTCTAAGTTCAGACAAGATTTTATAAAATACTTTATTGACTGACATCAGACAAAGGAAATTAAATACTTTCTAAAGTACAGTAACCAGTGTGTAAATATGGTGATAATAAACGGAGAAACTTACGTTTACCGTTATCATCAACTTTCTAAACTCACATTGAATACCGATCTACAACACTGTTATATCCCCTTTATCATCACCAAGACGTGTACTTTACAATCATCTCGTCCAACTGTTTATCCGTTTTTCTACTTGCTAATGAACACATTCCCGTAGGTCGGGCAGGGTAACCTTGACCACCGTTTCTGGGGAAGACCAGAAGACATGGCAATGGCACGACCACCCTATAAAATTACTGCACAAAGACCCGGAAGTGACGTAGCTGGCGAGTACGCGGCAGCCATGGCGGCAGGTTATATTGCATTTAAGGACAAAGGTGAGAATTGAAAGAGAAAGGTATTTGTTAAAATAGAAAAAACACTTAAGCAAAAAAGCTGATTCTGTAAGGTACTATAGCTGTTCAGTTACTAATGTTTCCTTAAATGACATAATTTCCCATCAATGAAAATGATGATTGGTCGGTGGGAGTGGTTTTTATTACCATTAACTGTTACAGATAACTGATAACCTAGATCGTTTTTAGATCCCAATTTCGCTGCTGACCTCCTGAGACATGCCAAGGAAATCTATACCTTCGGTCTGGAATACAACAGTACGTACACTAAAAGTCTTCCTCAATCAGCAGCCCAGTTCTATGGGTAAGTTTTACGATCGCGCATGCGTGAAAGCAAGCACGTATTGATTCATGCACCTATTTTTCAACTCTTGAGTACCGCTCATTCGGAAATATCTCACAGTTCCTCCTTTCGTTACTTCTCTTATGTATGTGTTCATACTCTGCGATGTGGGCCAAATATAATTATAGAAAGACGAAAGCTAACAATTGAGAACATTGGAAGTAACCAGGATACAGTTTATAATATAAAATTATAGAAAGACGAAAGCTAACAATTGAGAACATTGGAAGTAACCAGGATACAGTTTATATGGGGTTTAGCGTCCTTTACAATGTCCGGATCCAAAGGGTCCAATTAGGGTGGATGTCAAAAGATATACGAAGTGTGGAAAATAAAGTACAGAATGAGAACAAGATTTGAAAAATAAAAATGTCAAGATTATAAGCATTGCAATAGATGCTGCAGATCTCCTCAATGTCCCATGGGAAGAAAACACGGAAGACAATCCTGGAATCTGCGGGGGGAGGGGTTGTCACATTAAATCGCCTCTTACGAAGCAGCAGCGGAAAACAGCTGATATTATTGTTAGGCTTTGCTGTGTCTCCTAAACAAAAGGCATAGTAGGGAAAACAATATGAAAATGACAGCTGACATATTCTGTCCCGTCCGTCTACCAGGTTACAAATTTGTCCTGAACGGAACGATCATTACCATGACACACTAATTGATTCAATTTAAGCATACTGATAGCAACTTGTCCTTAACTTTTCAGGTCCTCGGACTACGATGATGAATTGTGTTGGGGAGGGGCATGGCTTTATTTAGCCACAGGAGAAGAAAAGTATCTTAATGACTCCAGGAAATATCATCGTCCAGGAACGAGCTGGGGACAGTCTTGGGGTAACAAGGAGTTAGGTTGTAAGGTAATTTATACTGAGACATAACGACTTTAAAGCTTAAAATATACCAAGTAATAAACCTTCTTTAATTTGAACATAAATTATTGCACATCAGTAGCAAAAGGATTGAGCACAAGTTTTACAACTTATATTAAGCCCTTTGAAAACATGTTAATACACACACATTATATTTACAAGGTGGCATTAGGATATAATAGCAATGAAACAATAATAAACAAGTTTAATGTGAGAGAGAGAGAGAGAGAGAGAGAGAGAGAGAGAGAGAGAGAGAGAGAGAGAGAGGAGAGAGAGAGAGAGAGAGAGAGAGGAGAGAGAGGGGGGGGTGGGGGGAGGGGGGAGAAGGAGGGGGAGGAGGAGGTGTATAACACGAGCTATATACTTTGCATATATGTAGATCATGCATCTGCTCCTTCTTTTCTTTTCACCTTAGATAGATGATGACAGATTGGAGGCATTATGTTCCAATGAAGTATTATTCCAACTGTTACAGGTGCTGCTCCACAATGTCACTGGTGATGATAAATATGCGGCCGACATTATCGGCACGTTCGCGGATTGGATGCCAGGAGGCACGGTTCCCTACTTCAGCAGTGGTCAAGCGTTTCGTGACAAATGGGGATCTCTGAGACATACCGGTACGTAGCCATTTATCTTAGGACCTAACTGTAACAATCCGTATAATTTTTTTATCGAAACTTTGAGCCTCATAAAACAGACTTCAAAGTTGACTCTTACCTGCAGCAGTGTTCGTGAATTTCTTTACCTTCTGAATATAAACATTGCGGATACGCGAAGTTTGACGATCTTATACAAAGGAAAAAGGTGCTGAAATCATAAAACTACTTTGGTATATATTTTTGTAGCCAATATGGCGTTTGTGGCTTTAGTAGCCGCTGAGCATGGACTTCATAGTACCGAATACCGCGCATGGGCAAAGTCGCAGATCCATATCGCTCTTGGTGACACCGGAAGAAGTTTTGTGGTAGGCTTTGGAGTAAATCCACCCAGTCATCCTCATCATCGGTCAAGGTCAGTATGAAATCTGCAATTGAATAGATGGTTCATGTAGTCAATAGCATGTCATCTTTACAGAGATAGAGGATTGAATAAACTGCAAGAATAAAAATGACGCAGTAGGGAACAACATATAATCAAACCTCGCGCTCTTCTGCCCAATACCTTACATGGACGTATTGTCTAATAGTGTCTAAAGGGCCTGTTGGTGACAGCCAGTGCTTTGTTGGATTAACGTTTGTGCCTATGAATGTTAACTGTAAGCAAAGCATGATTATGTTGATGTTCGTATAAATCGCTAGGTGACTATAGGATATATCAACTTTCGGATACATAGCAACTAAACCAGCTTTTGATACTTTTCAGGTCCAGATCAGCTTTTCTGACCATACAGGGTCAGTTAAAAATGTCATCCAGGAAAGCGTAGCTTGAATATTAAAAAACCCACTTTACATTAATTTTATATACGGATGGGTATAACAATCATTGATGGCCAAATACACGGCTAGAACCTGCTGATATTCACACAGATCAATCACATGATCATCGGTAGGTAACTGTCAATAGATTCTTTCTTGTTGATTCAGTTCCTGCCCGATGATGCCAGCACCTTGTTCCCAGGAGGCGTTGACAAGGCCAGAACCAAGTCCACACACTGTATACGGTGGCCTGGTGGGAGGACCAAGTCATGAGGGCGGTTATAAAGACGACAGGCAAGATTATGTCCAGAACGAGGTTGCCTGTGATTACAACGCAGGTTTCCAGTCAGCCGTTGCAGGTCCGTTGATAATATGAATGATAACTACTGGTTTAACAGCAGGCAGGGCTGCGTTTTATGGACTGTATTTTAGCATTTTGCAAAACCTATTTTTGATGTACTAACTTCCCTCTAAAACGAGTCTTTGAGAGACTTAACAGCTGTTTCCTGTTTCAATTTTCAACATAGGCTTCCAACTTATCTATTCTTAAAGTCCAATTGAACGGTACTCTTCACCTCGATGTTTTAGTACAAACCATGTTTTTGTCCCGGACATCAACTAGTTTCTCCTCGTATCCTCTGTAATGGATCAATATATCTATTTGAAATTTGATTTGAAATTGAATGAGTGGTCGCGAAATGCAGGCCAAACTTTTATTTAGTACCGATAAACTCGGGTATTTCAGAGTTATGATAATGGAACGTGGAAAAAATTCTAAAATTTTTCTTTAAAATTATTATAATTGTGTAAAATCTTTATGACGTCATAGTCAGAGTGTTGGATTATTGTGTAAAGGTGTAATCATTTGAGACGTCATAGTCAAAGTGTTGGATTATGTTGTAAATGTGTAATCCTTTATCACGTCATAGTCAGAGTGTTGTATAATTTGGTAAATGTGTAATCCTTTATGACGTCATAGTCAAAGTGTTGGATTATTTTGTAAATGTGTAATCCTTTATGACGTCATAGTCAAAGTGTTGGATTATTTTGTAAATGTGTAATCCTTTATGACGTCATAGTCAGAGTGTTTGAGTAACTTGATATTTATTTTGTAAACGTAGTCGATATTAACAATAAATAAAAACGTCCATCACAATCATTCTAAACTAGCTATACCATTGAATTTATTTATTCTTTTTGTTTTATTTGCAGGCCTAAAGCATCTCTCTATTACCGGTCAACTGCCTTAACTGCTTGGGTCTATTTTCTTTTTATAATAAAACCAGTTTGTCACCTACATTTTCGAGTTGTTATTTTTGGTTCAGTCTAAATAAGATGTTTTATTTTGGATTTCAGAATCTTAATATTTCGTTAATTCATTAGTTCGTAATGTTTTATCTTCCCTAGTTTATCCTTTCGGACAATTTCTGTGTGTTTACCGAGTAAGGTACTAATCTCATAGTCTCGCTTAGTCATACTCTTGTTGTTTGTACACGTAATGAAGCGTTTTGGTGAGTGAGACTATTTGTTGCTATAACCGCCATGTTGCTATCCGCCATTGCAAACTATTACTGGGAGTTTCAATTCCATGTCACTTCATGACTGATAGTATGTGTGATTTTTTACTCATAATCTCGCTTAGTCATACTCTTGTTGTTTTCTCACGTGATGAAGCGTTTTGGTGAGTGAGACTATTTGTTGCTATAACCGCCATGTTGCTATCCGCCATTGCCAACTATTACTGGGAGTTTCAATTCCATGTCACTTCATAACTGATAGTATGTGTGATTTTTTACTCGGTAATATCAATGGATTTATATAAAGCCGACTATGAAGTTTGATAAAAAAGCAACTAAAAGTTATCTAAATATTTTGTATTCTGACTGTTTTTCACACAGTTCTGAAGATGACCTTACATAATTGCAGATTGGAGAAAACATTCCAAATGATTTTTTATCAAATTCAATTTCCTGATTTCCTCTGATGTTGATATAGAGACCTAAATCAAACGTTGTATATCTATATCTAATTGGAAGCGATCTTTCCGACCTATATTGAATCTACACTACAAACATAGCACAAAAGCACCATGACAAACATGGTTTATAATCCGATCCTTCCAAAATAAAGTTAAAAAGAAACCAAATGTCTGAGAACTGAACAATAAAAGAAGAAAATTGATGCCTTAACTACTGTTTTCCTTGAGGATAGTATTCTTTATATAACATATCTTAATAATTTCTCTTAATCTGGATGTTGTACCCAATAAAAATTGTTTGAAGTTTGTGTTAATAGGCTAAAATTGAAAATGACTATTTGTTAAACATATAACAACATTTTCAGAAAATATTATTACAGTGACTTTTCCCAAAGCAATTGCAAGTGTATTTGAAAGCTTTCCAGATATCAGAGAGAGATGGCAAATCACTATTTCGTAAACGAACTATGGGCTTATCAAACATACAAACATCAGGTAGTATTTAGATAATGTTTAACTAAAATTAACGATTCAATACTGAATTATGTTGAAAGTCGTACTATCAACTTAGACAATGTCAACATAATATTCAAATGTTAATTTCATTTGAATATAGTAATATTATGTCATTGTTCGATTCATTCTGATTAGTTTAATATTATTACGCTTGACGGTCGTCATATCGATAAATATATTCTATTCAGTTTTCTATATGAAGCTGGACGTGTTTGATGCTCGTTAGTTTGCCTGGTAGTTTCGGTTGTTGTATATTTAGAACGTGACTTCAAGTGACCTAGATTTACATGGAAGTTGTCGTCGTTGCAGCAGAAGACACTCCGTATAACTCTTTCTTTTGTTTAGATTTTGTCCTGAATTTGGGTTTGGATTATGCTACTGTTTAAATATAGGTATTTTCTTTTTGTCGTACCCTGAATGCCACATTTTCGTTCATGTTGTGAATCAGAGCATATATAATTGCATGTATATGATGTCCATTTGAAATAACCCTGTATTAGGCCTTGAGCGACACTAAAGAGTTATAGAAGGTTTAAGCAGATACATTTTGTAGTCTAATTTATTATGACACTTTTGTCCCCGTATATGTAATGAAAAGTGTTTCTCGATTTAGTACAATTCTTCTTAAAAACACACAGAGTACTAATTTGGACAAAGATTTCAATCTAGAAGTCTGATTACAGCCATAACCGAAATGCGTGTCTACTGAAACAGAGAAAATGATGTCTGACCAGTTAGGCATCCGAAAAAAACAAACAAACAAACAAACAAAACAACAACAATGTTAGACAAAGTTAGAACAATAGAATAAATCAGGGTTGCTTGTGTGTTTTACTGAATGTATTTCGTGTTTTAACTCGATTAATACTAAAGCCTTGTATTAATATTTACTTACTTTGGCTTTCTGTTTCGCTTTGTTACGTTGCTGTGTAATGTTGTTAACAATTTACGAGCTGCTTCTTTAGTGTGTTTTGAATATGACATGTTTATCAATACTTTAGTTAATGTTCTTCACGGGCCTTTAATAATCTATACACACTTAAACATTGGTGTGATGTATAATGCTGAAGATTTATACATTATTTGACATCCATACTCTACAAAGAAAGAACGATAAGTACGTTTTCTTACCTGTGAATAAATTACATCTTTGCATTGTAAGAAAATGGCAATAGTTATCATTACAAAAACACTAGGTTATCGAAATCACTCAAGCATCAAAGGTCTGTATTAACAGAAAAAATCCACGAGATTTTCTACGACAATTTATTTTCTGTGTCCTCGCTTGAATACAAATATTCACCTAATTTGGCTATTACAAATACAGATGGAAAGGATGTTAGTCATGACTTGAGAGGCTTGAGAGTGTTGGCGTCGAGTAGCCCAGCATTTTGGCTGTATTCTTGACAATTTGCTATTATAGTTAGTCGTTTTAGTCACACTGTTTCACGTCATCCTCTAATCGGCCAACCCGCAAAACAAGTGCTAGGTTAGATTAATACACTTAGGCAATCAATTTATAACCGTGCGGTAGATACAAGTAAATTGTTTTGGCGTCGTCTGTCTGCCCATGTTGTCCGCATCAGGTTGAGAGTCTATCGATTGAAAGTGCAGCGTCCTTACGCAGGATTCATTCTGTTGCACCGTCATTGTAATAATCCCCGTCATTTAACCCAAGTGCACCGTCAGTCGGCTTTAAGACAAAGGGAGAATAGTACCGATTTTATCTGCAACAGTATGATGGCGGGCTTTGAGGAAGTGTAATGATTGGAGAAGGCATTTGGGTGGGGGTGGGAAGGTTGATGGAAGGTTAGTCAGTGGCAATGAAACATTTAACTAGTATTCAATATTAGAACAAAAACATCGTTGGCGCTATTTTACAGCAGGATAATGCGCCACCTCCGCACACTAGTCGCGTAAGCAGAATAACGTTTAGGTGTTCGATTGTCTATTGAAATCACCAGATTTATCACTAATTGTGTTTCAAAATCAACTGTCAAATTTCAAGGTTTATTTGCCGGTTTGTGAGTTCCATGTGACGACGCAGCAATGATTTTTACCTTGCAAACAGTAGTCATACCTGTATAAATGTGTTGCATGTGACATTGACTCCAACGTCTTTTATAGTCGAATAAAAATAAGTTTGATCCAAATAAGTAAAACACTTCGTACGTAATTAACTGCAATTTATCAAGGAAATCGTTAATTAATCACAACATGAATGAATGTCAAATTTCTATTAAGGTTTTGTCCAGTGTATCTAGTGAACTAAAAGGTATTACAGGCATGTGTGTAATTAGTCATTCAATCCATTGGCCAGAGAATATTTGTATTCCGAAATGGACATTGAGTTACATGTTTATCTTTACAAGGTCGCATGCCCTGAAGTCTTCAATCAACATAGATTCATAGTTTCTCATAGTTACTCAATAGACGACCTATATTTCGACGTCTTCTGATAACAAGACTAGGCCGACAAATTTCCCCGGATCGTATTTGCAGTAGATTAAACGAAGGAACTTGTAGAGGTACTAGTAATCAGTTTTATATCAAAATATTGGTCATGTTTATGTTGTGTTCTATTGAATTTTTTGTTGTTTTCACAGCTATATTGGCTCGTGCAACTATGTATATGTTAATATTACAAAATCTATTATGCTTTAGATGGAGGTTTTTCCTTAGCATGTCTGTACTCAAATATAAACATACTACTCAAAACGCTTCAGATCTAAATGTTGCTATAGAAACAGTTATTTGTAAAATGACATTTCGTGGCAATCGCAACATATGGAACAAATTCAAATTTATTGACGATTCTTTATTTTTCTCAAATATTTATACTACCATATCGTCCTTTATTTCTTAAGCATTGCCAAATGCATCGGTGGATAGTTGTTGATATATAACAAATTAACATTGATTTCATTACAGGATCGCATCAAAGTCGCCGATATGATTGTGGTTCTTCTCTTGGCCTTCCTGGTTACCGGGAATGTGGCGATCGAGGTACCGATGACAGGGGTGAACGATTGGGGAGGAAGGTTTGAAGGAAAATTTGTCTTCAATATACCAGAGGAGGTTTCTGGTTGGGAGGCCATTCTTCACTTCGATGAACCGATAACAGGGATGACGGTAAGTATGGTCTCGAAGACTAACTTCAAAAATCTTTTAATATGGGTCTTAAATACTAACTTACATATTTTAAATGAATTGTGGATCTTGATAACTGATTCAAGATTCGTAAGCAAGTATGAGTGTTGTTTAATAACTCGTTATGTAAGTATGGATCTTATTTCATGACTCAAGTCGTTATGTAAGTAAGAGTGTTGTATAGATACTCCACAATCGTTATGCATGGTATTGTTTAATGCCTCCAGTTGTCCAGTTGTTACGTAAGTATGGGCGCTCGAATGTAGGCATTAGTATCCTGGAAGCATGAAACATCTGTACGAAGCAGTTTTATTTCATTATCTGGCTCTATTGCATCTAATTTAAAATTTGTATCAAAATGTGCTATTCTTTTGTGTATCCGTTGTGCAAACTTATCGTCCAATCCGAATGCACTATCTGTGTTTAACATTGAAATAAACAATCCGTTCTTCGGCAGGAATGGATGGGCGATATCATCAAAACTGCCAATGATAATACTGAATACATATTGGTCAGTAAACCTCACACGGGGATTCAGCACGTTGGTCAAACACTGACCATCACCGTACAGGCTAGTTATTCTGGAGGTGCACCGCCCACCGGAAAAGGAACTCTTGTAAATATGGCCCACGACGGCCAGACGGTGCCCCCCGCACCTACAGGTAAGACGTTGTTTATGTAAACGCTGGTCTATAAATCCGCATCGTTAAGGGATGATACATGTAATCTAACATTGGCAATTAACAAGACCGATACAAATACTTAACCATGATACATGTCAAAATGCATGATAATTTGACACAAATGCGCATATTGAAAATGACTTTGATAATATGGAAATGGTGTAAAATATAGGAACAAAAACTAGGATGTCGGGTGTCTTCTAACTAATTTTTAAATCATAATTCCCGTCTGTGGCGGTAATCCATCGTCGATCATTCCAGTTGTTTGTGAATTGCAATATAACTATTGAATGAATGTACATGTTTTTAAAGTTCCCGGTGCTAAATACAACTATGCCGAAGTTCTAGAAAAGTCCATTTTATTCTACGAGGCTCAGCGATCGGGAAAACTGCCTTCTACCAACCGGATACCTTGGAGAGGAGACTCAGCCTTGCATGATCAGGGGCTAAACGGAGAGGATCTCACCGGGGGATGGTATGATGGTAGGTAATAGTACTATCCTTGTGTTAGTGCGTTTGATTGGATTGTAATGTTATAATACAGAAAAAATCTAAACAAAAAATAAAAATATTGTAAAGAAAAGCAAAAAAGATGTATAAAACTGTGGGCTGTTATGATGGAAACAACGTCTGTTGTCGGTGAGATTCATGAACTCATGCGGTTGAATATATTTCGCTTGTACTGATTTGACATCCAAGTGAAATTCGGAAAAATAAAAATCTTTGATGATTGGTTTGAAAAATAAGCCAAGTTAGATATATCTTTTGATCAACAGCTGGTGACCATGTGAAATTTGGACTTCCTATGTCGGCTAGTGTGACCATGTTGGCCTGGGGTTTTCTCCAGTATGCCGATGCCTACGAAGCAGCTGGACAAACAGAATATATGTATGACTGTATCCGTTGGCCTCTCGAATGGTTGATCAAGGCTCACACAGCACCAAACGAACTTTATATTCAGGTATGTCAAGGCCATTTGGTTTAAAACGGACGGTAACCCTGGAATAGATTAAATGTGGGCGAAATAAGTACAGTGACCTGACAAAAAGTATTGCAACAAACACGGCCGACGTCATTCACAATTGAAAAACAAAGCTGAAATTTAAAACAATATTTTTCAAATCAAAAATGTATATATAATACTTACCAGACTTTTAATATTTTGTAATATAGCCTTTCTGGATGATAACACTGCGAATCCTTCTGGGAACTGATGCATATAAATTTATTATGTAGACCTGAGGTAGACGTCGCCAGATATCTTTCACTGCTGTGATAAGTTGATCCCTGTTTGTAATGTCATCCAATTTTTTATTAAGTTTAATTTTTATATATCTCCACATATTTTCAATAATGTTTATATCTGGGGATTGTGCAGGCCAGTCCATATTTGGTATACGATATGCAGTTTTCCAGGCATTGGTCACTCTAGAACGATGAGGGGTCTCATTATCATCCTGATAAATCCAATCACCATTTGCCAAATTCCATTGCAACCACAGGCCACAAGTTTTCGTCCAGTAAATCTATATACTTTTGTGAATTTATATATATCAACCTCAACTAAAGTACCAACACCATTATATGAAATTCATCCCCAAAACATTAACTCACCTGTTAGGGCGCTTTCAAGATATTCAAACACTCCGGGTTCCACTTTTCTGTCGATTTTCTCCCTACAAGTAAACCATTTTTCTTGCCAATAACAACTTTTGTTTCGTCCGTAAACAGAACTTTTTTCATGCCGGTAGTCAATTTATTTCTATCCAAAAATCGCAAATGCAATGTGCCAAATTATTTTTTGCAGAAAATCGATCATGTTTGTTGCAATACATTTGTCAGGTCACTGTAATCTGGAAAAGGATAGAAGATAGAAATCAGTAATTTTGTAATTCATCTACTTTCAGTGTTACAATCATGCTTTACGATAATGCATTGTAGAGACATGACACTGTGTGACACCTGTTTATTCGACCTTCGAAATAGAAATAGCGTATGTCAAATAAGGAAATAAATGGTATCACACCGCGTCTTTTATCGCTTTCATGAATGATGCAGGGGGTTATAAGTATGGGGATATTAAAGAATTAAATACTAAGAACTCCTCTATATACTGAGGTAAACGTTGAATATAAAACAGGAGGTTGCTGCTACATAGGTTAAGGAAATCTGAAGAATTTTGTGTATTTCATAATTGTAAAAGTTTAACTTCGATTTCACATGCTGATATATAATTGCTTGTTTGGTAAAGGTAGGAGATGGGGGTAAGGATCACGGATTCTGGGGCAGACCAGAAGACATGTCAATGGATAGACCTGCATTCAAGGTCGACGCCACTAAACCAGGAAGTGATGTAGCTGGCGAGTATGCTGCTGCAATGGCTGCTGGGTACTTGGTTTTTAAAGACAAAGGTAATGTGACAGCGATTGATGGGTGAAAAATCGACAACCGATTGAATTCTGCTCATAAAAGTTAGATACAACTGTGATAGAGAACTAAGTAATTTTCACTTACCAATGATGGTACCCAAGCAATTCTCTCTTACCAATGATGGTACCCAAACAATTCTCTCTTACCAATGATGGTACCCAAGCAATTCTCTCTAACCGATGATATGGTACCCAAGCAATTCTCTCTAACCGATGATTTGGTACCCAAGCAATTCTCTCTTACCGATGATTTGGTACCCAAGCAATTCTCTCTTATCGATGATTTGGTACCCAAGCAATTCTCTCTTACCGATGATTTGGTACCCAAGCAATTCTCTCTTACCGATGATTTGGTACCCACGCAATTCTCTCTTACCGATGATTTGGTACCCAAGCAATTCTCTCCAAACGATGATTTGGTACCCAAGCAATTCTCTCTTACCGATGATTTGGTACCCAAGCAATTCTCTCTTACCGATGATTTGGTACCCAAGCAGTTCTCTCTTACCGATGATTTGGTACCCAAGCAATTCTCTCTTACCGATGATTTGGTACCCAAGCAATTCTCTCTTACCGATGATTTGGTACCCAAGCAATTCTCTCAAATCGATAATTTGGTACCCAAGCAGTTCTCTCTTATCGATGATTTGGTACCCAAGCAATTCTCTGTTACCGATGATTTGGTACTCAAGCAATTCTCTTTTATCGAGGATTTGGTACCAAAACAGTTCTTTCTTACCAATGATTTGGTACCCAAGCAATTCTCTCAAATCGATAATTTGGTACCCAAGCAATTCTCTCTTACCGATGATTTGGTACCCAAGCAATTCTCTCTTACCGATGATTTGGTACCCAAGCAATTCTCTCAAATCGATAATTTGGTACCCAAGCAGTTCTCTCTTATCGATGATTTGGTACCCAAGCAATTCTCTCTTACCAATGATTTGGTACCCAAGCAATTCTTTCTTATCGATGATTTGGTACCCAAGCAATTCTCACTTACCGATGATTTGGTACTCAAGCAATTCTCTTTTATCGAGGATTTGGTACCAAAACAGTTCTTTCTTACCAATGATTTGGTACCCACGCAGTGCTCTCTTACCAATGATTTGGTACCAGGGCGTTTCTCTGTTTAACAAGTATTTGGTACCATTAATTTTCTAGTAATAAAAACAATTGATTCATCTGTTTGAAAGTGATATCGGTAACAGGTTATCTGGTTTTGACATTTTGGTTTATTTTTGCTGATAACGTATACATCTGCACCATGATTCTCATGTTGGGGTTTTCATGTTGAAGGTTCTGTTTTAAGTAAGAAATTTCCGTTTCAGGCTTTCTGACTGGATGCTTTTCCATTGTGTTGAAAGTTCTTTTTTAAGTAATACATTTCCTTTCCATGTCTGGCTTCCTGCACTGAGCACTTATATATATATATATATACATATTTAATTTAAAAAGATAAAAACTTTGTGTATCCTGAAGATGGCCGCGAGGCCTGAAAACTTTAGTGATATATTTGTTTGTCTCATGTTAAGTGATTAATTTTCTCTCTCTCTCTCTCTCTCTCTCTCTGTCTCTCTCTCTCTCTCTCTCTCTCTCTCTATATATATATATATATATATATACATGTTAAATTTTCTAGTAATGAATTCCCATGTCTAGCTTCATGCACTGAACGCTTTTCTGTTGTATTGAATTTTCAATTTTCAGTAATGAATTCCCATGTCTGGATTCCTTCATTTGACATTTTCGCTTTTGTTTGAACGTTCTGTTTAAAGTAATAAACTCACGTGCTTCAACATTATGATTTTACCTCAGATCCGACGTTCGCTGCTCAGCTTCTCAGTAACGCCGAAGAGATCTACAAGTTTGCTGTGACCTACAAAGGGATATACAGCAATAGTGTCAATCAGGCCGCCGCCTATTACAGGTAACAACAGGCTTCATGTGTTTTAAACTAAAATCTTGAATTTAAACGCACGTTTGAGAAGAGCAGTGTGAGGTCCATCTGTTCTTCGACAGTGACCTATTTTAAATGATTCCTTCCTATATCACCAACTCTACTTCATGCTCATGCGAACATTTTCTTTTACATCAAAGTTTTAATCCTGTATGACACCATGATTTATCACGCAGATAAACAGTAATGACGTTGATCGAGGACATGCACTAACTGGAAAGTTCTCTATTCATTATTTGTTTTTGATGAAATATACGAGAGCGATCAATCACTCGTTCTTCGTTTAATGTTAACACGGTTTTCGAAAAAGGTCGTCTGCCTATGAAGATGAACTTTGCTGGGGAGCGTTATGGCTTTACATGGCGACAAACAAAACCTCATACCTGACAGAAGCTAAGACATATTACCCTACTGTGGCTGGACCAGATTGGGGACAGTCTTGGGATGACAAGGGCGCTGGTTGTCAGGTTCGTCACGTGTCTCAGAACAAACAATATACATGGAATCAGCAACAACAAAAATAGAAGCATGCCGGCTATTTGAAGTTTAAGTAGCATTGAAATGTAACGACATTGTCGCATGGTATCAAACTGAATGTATTTTCATTATTATCGTGCATTTTGAAAAATGATTATATAAACTCTCTCAGATCACGATCTATTTTGAAATATCAAAATGTTATTGAATATATTTGAAAATGATATTTAAGACAACTATGAATTGTAGTAACTACCGTTGGATTTGTTAATTTGTGGTGATCGTTTCAATATGTCATGTCCAAAAAGTAGAAGATCGAAAATTTACTACTGGTATAGACCCATAGCATAGCATCAACATTTAAAATTTTGAAAATTAGCTAAGAAAAGAAATGGGTTTTACCTTCAATAACGAGACATGCATCTCTATTTTGTATCCGCAGTATTACTGCATAAGTTATAGATAGAATGGCTTTACTTTTAGATTCTGCTGTATAACATTACTGGAGAACAAAAATACAAGGATAACATAGAGGCCACATTTGCTGATTGGCTACCCGGCGGCAGTATTCCTTACAGCCCCAAGGGTCTCGCGTTTCGCTCCCAATGGGGATCACTCAGATACGCATGTGAGTATATTGAAACCGACACGATAGAATCAAATTAGTTTATTATACGCTTGAGTAAACTTCCTCTGTAAAGCAATTTACAGATGAATTGGGTCAAGTGATGTGTTTTCGGTCTGATTTGAAACAAACACTTCTTTGCTTTAATGTTTAAGTGTCAATTCGTATGACACGCATGTCAGTTATTTAATTATTTGCGTGATGTAATTTGTTATTGAAGCCACATTCGTTTAAATAGAGATATCGATGAAATATTTACACGTTAGGATATTGGATGACATTAAAGTCTATTGTGTTTTCAGCATATATATATTGGATGACGTATGTCTATTGTGATTTGTGTAATAAGTGACATTATACGCCTATTATGTCTAATACTGCAAGTGTAATGAGAGACATTACACGCCTGTTATGTCTTATACTATAAGTGTAATGGCTGACATTATACGCCTAGTATGACTTATACTGTAAGTGTAATGAGAGACATTAAACGCAAAGTATGTGTTATACTATTAGTGTAATGGGTGTCATTATACGCCTAGTATGACTTATACTATAAGTGTAATGGTGACATTATACGCCTTTTGTGTTTTATACTATAAGTGTAATGGTGACATTATACATGTAATGGCTGACATTATACGCCTAATGTTTTGTGTTTTGGTGTAATGTAATGGCTGACATTATACGCCTTATGTGTGTAATGGTTATACTATAAGTGTAATGGTGACATTATACGCCTACTATGTTTTATACTATAAGTGTAATGGCTGACATTATACGCCTACTATGTCTTATACTATAAGTGTAATGGTGACATTATACGCCTTTTGTGTTTTATACTATAAGTGTAATGGTGACATTATACGCCTACTATGTCTTATACTATAAGTGTAATGGCTGACATTATACGCCTACTATGTCTTATACTATAAGTGTAATGGCTGACATTATACGCCTAGTATGACTTATACTATAAGTGTAATGGCTGACATTATACGCCTAGTATGACTTATACTATAAGTGTAATGGTGACATTATACGCCTTTTGTGTTTTATACTATAAGTGTAATGGTGACATTATACGCCTACTATGTCTTATACTATAAGTGTAATGGTGACATTATACGCCTAGTATGACTTATACTATAAGTGTAATGGTGACATTATACGCCTAATGGCTATGACATTATACGCCTATAAGTGTAATGACTTATACTATATGTCTTAGTGTAATGGTGACATTATACGCCTACTATGTTTATAAGTGTAATGGTGACATTATACGCTTTTTGTGTTTTATACTATAAGTGTAATGGTGACATTATACGCCTACTATGTCTTATACTATAAGTGTAATGGCTGACATTATACGCCTAGTATGACTTATACTATAAATGTAATGGTGACATTATACGCCTACTATGTCTTATACTATAAGTGTAATGGCTGACATTATACGCCTAGTATGTCTTATACTATAAGTGTAATGGCTGACATTATACGCCTACTATGTCTTATACTATAAGTGTAATGGCTGACATTATACGCCTACTATGTCTTATACTATAAGTGTAATGGTGACATTATACGCCTAGTATGTTTTATACTATAAGTGTAATGGCTGACATTATACGCCTACTATGTCTTATACTATAAGTGTAATGGCTGACATTATACGCCTAGTATGACTTATACTATAAGTGTAATGGTGACATTATACGCCTAGTATGTCTTATACTATAAGTGTAATGGTGACATTATACGCCTAGTATGTTTTATACTATAAGTGTAATGGCTGACATTATACGCCTAGTATGACTTATACTATAAGTGTAATGGCTGACATTATACGCCTAGTATGACTTATACTATAAGTGTAATGGTGACATTATACGCCTACTATGTATGTGTAATGGCTGACATTATTACTATATGTAATGGCTGACATTATACGCCTAGTGTAATGGCTGACATTATACGCCTACTATGTCTTATACTATAAGTGTAATGGTGACATTATACGCCTACTATGTCTTATACTATAAGTGTAATGGCTGACATTATACGCCTACTATGTTTTATACTATAAGTGTAATGGCTGACATTATACGCCTTTTGTGTTTTATACTATAAGTGTAATGGTGACAGTATACGCCTAGTATGACTTATACTATAAGTGTAATGGTGACATTATACGCCTACTATGTCTTATACTATAAGTGTAATGATGACATTATACGCCTAGTATGACTATACTATAAGTGTAATGGCTGACATTATACGCCTTTTGTGTGTAATGGCTGACATTATACGCCTACTATGTCTTATACTATAAGTGTAATGGTGACATTATACGCCTAGTATGACTTATACTATAAGTGTAATGGCTGACATTATACGCCTAGTATGACTTATACTATAAGTGTAATGGCTGACATTATACGCCTAGTATGACTTATACTATAAGTGTAATGGCTGACATTATACGCCTACTTATACTATAAATGTAATGGTGACATTATACTATAAGTGTAATGGCTGACATTATACGCCTACTATGTCTTATACTATAAGTGTAATGGCTGACATTATACGCCTACTATGTCTTATACTATAAGTGTAATGGCTGACATTATACGCCTACTATGTCTTATACTATAAGTGTAATGGCTGACATTATACGCCTAGTATGACTTATACTATAAGTGTAATGGCTGACATTATACGCCTACTATGTCTTATACTATAAGTGTAATGGCTGACATTATACGCCTACTATGTCTTATACTATAAGTGTAATGGCTGACATTATACGCCTAGTATGACTTATACTATAAGTGTAATGGTGACATTATACGCCTAGTATGTCTTATACTATAAGTGTAATGGCTGACATTATACGCCTACTATGTCTTATACTATAAGTGTAATGGTGACATTATACGCCTACTATGTCTTATACTATAAGTGTAATGGTGACATTATACGCCTTTTGTGTTTTATACTATAAGTGTAATGGCTGACATTATACGCCTTTTGTGTTTTATACTATAAGTGTAATGGCTGACAGTATACGTCTAGTATGTCTTATACTATAAGTGTAACATTGGTGCCTACCTTGTAAAATAAGAGCGGTCACTGAATTGTATCTACAGAACGACTGAATATTGAAGATTGATCTTGTTTCCTTTTTGAAGTTAGTTTCTTTATAAGATAAGTAAAGTTTATTCTAGTGCAGGACTTGATCAAAGTCCTATATACCAGACTCATTCACAACAAATAATGAATAATTCATATAACCTTTTCCTGCATATCAGAAACGCTCCTATCTATTCATCAACTAAATTAAAACCTGAAGTAAAATCTGGGTTATACATATGTAAGCGAGTTATTGATAAGTGGGAGTATTCTTTAATTTCAAAGCTAACATGGCGTTCATGGCTTTATTGGCGGCTGATACTGGTGTTCATACTGACGAATACCGCACGTGGGCAAAGTCGCAGATCCACTACGCGCTCGGTGACACCGGAAGGAGTTTTGTCGTCGGATTTGGGGTCAACCCACCTACTCAACCACATCACAGGGGCAGGTTAGTACTTCCTTTGTAATATGTCTGATGCAATTATCTCAGCTTCGATTTGTGATAATTAAACGATTCAGAAAAAAAAACTAATTCCAACAATTGTAAACAACAAAATCATAATTGAAAACATCAGGACATCAGGATCACCTTGTAATCTTGTAAATCGGGCACTATTTGTACTGTTTTTTCCCTCTGTTCAACGTCTAAGTCGAAAAATCCACAGTTGAATAATGTTTCGTAATAACATGTTTCTGATAATTGTCACTACAAAGCTATATTTTTGTTTCATCTTTAAAAGAGAATAGTCGAACGCCTATCAGTTTAATTCTACAATTTCAAGTTTGATTAAGGAAAAAGAGAAAGACAGTAAATTATATCCCATAATTTAGAATGTATACAGGCCATCAATAGAGTCTTTTATCTGTCCCTTTCTTAGCTCTTGTCCCATGATGCCAACACCTTGTTCCTGGGAAGCCCAGCAGCAGAAAGGTCCCAACCCACATACCTTATATGGAGCCCTCGTTGGGGGTCCTGACGGCAGCGATTCCTATACTGACAGTCGTAGTAACTACATCAACAACGAAGTAGCATGCGATTATAATGCAGGCTTCCAGTCCGCTGTAGCAGGTGAGTACTTTACTTCCATGTTTCGAGAGGTAATCAGAGGAAATAAACATAAATTTACATATCACAAAATCCACGGCGATACTTCCAATAGTTAAATGTAATGTGAAGTTTGTTTATTTGTTATATACTGTTGACGGAAGGTTTCGGGTAAGGTTGGAGAAGAATTATGTCCAGATTTTCATACATAATGGCACCGATTAAGGATGATTTCGTAATTAAATTTACATCATCAGAAATTTTCAAATCGGTCATACCATTTTGCAAATATGCGTTTTTTTGTATATTTTCAGATATGTCTAGCATTTTTTTGATATTTTAGCTTTACAGCTGATTTTTATAATATTTTGTCCTAACCTGTGCTGTAATTTAAATAGTTCTGCAGTGAATAAAGTGTCTTGCTGACAAAACTATTTAACGGCAGTGTATAAGCTTGTGATTTTCAGCATTATGTCATTTTGAGCATGTAAAAGTCGCCCAATGTAGAATCGGGATTTTTTCTTTTTCTTTAATATATTTCCTATCCTTCTTTTGTTTTCTCTGTCGATGTCATATAAAGCAGTTGTACACACGTATTATTGTTTATTTTTCATCATATGTGACTTTTCCTTATCATTTTTGTTTGATTTTCTGTTCCAAAAGGTGCTTTGTTTATATACATCAAACGCGTGATTTTCGTATAGAAAAGAATGTGATTTTTATTACAATGAACTTAGCTGCCTGTTCATGATGTTGACTTTATTGACACACTTTCATAAAAGACCGAAGTTGTGTAATTAAACAATAGAAAATAACATTTTCTACAAATCATCTCGTTTTTATATTCTTAAATGTGACTTTTTTCTCTTTTAGGACTGCTACACAATACCATGATGGCTTCCTAACCGAAGTGCCAGTCTTGATTAATGTAACTAGGTTGATTTATTAGGAAATAAAACCACAATTCATATGAGAACTGGTTGTTAAAATATTTACATCCCCGCCATTTTATCCATTTTATGTTGACCCGTCCGTCCAGCCTGATGCCATGCCGCCACATCCAGTCCATGTTAATGTCATGTCTTTACTTGTGTGATCTTTACATCACGTTCTATATATGGTAATATTAGGGCGGTCAACAGTCAGGATTAATGGGTGAAAAGTCTCATTTGATAACTTCCGTTCATCAACCAATACATGAGAACGGCGAAAAAGTGCCCAACGTTTTCTAGTTTAAAATAACTTTTGGTGTAGAATTTTTCTTAAAATAAGGATTTTCTTTTCAAAGAATGCTGAGGATGAAAGCTTGACGATGATTGAATTCCTTGTTGCGAATTTTTTGTTGAGTTTGGTGATAGCAAGGCATTCCAAGAGTATATTGACAAACCAATGGTACCAGGCCATTCCCCTGGCTTTTAAGTTTCATATAAGATTAGTTTTATCGAAGAGTTTATCAAAAGAGGTTACAATGCCGACACCAAGTCAATCGGTTCCATTTGTTAGTGATGTCTGATCATAGAATAGCAAGACATTTATACACCTTGCACCAACGTTACAGGTCACGAACACAATAAACTCTTTTATGAAAGTCTGACGATTTTGATGTTTCTACTGTGAATGTTCCATTTCTAGTATTTCCTAACTTGCGATACGAATATAGCAGTGTTCGGCTCGTAAGAATGTCTGTTGTTTGCAATGTTCTAATTTAAAAACGTTGTATTACTTAACAAGCATGATCACGTATTCTCATTACAGAATGCGGTTGTTAATTGGACCGTTTCTTCGTGTAATTATATTCGTGTTCCGGAATTGTACCAAGCATTATCAAGACACCATACAAATAAAAGGAATTGTCATTAATGATAAGAAATAGACGATCCTGCAGTTCACAACGGTGATATGCAAATATTACATTTTATTAAGTTTTAAATATCGTGTAGAATATGAATATGAAGTTTGAAGGAACAAAACATATCTCACGCCAATGCTGGCATAACTCATCATAATAAACCTATCAAAATTGGAAATCAAGGACTAGTCCAACATTTCCACATCAGCCGCTGATCTCTACCTTTTCCTGCAACGAAACCAGCATGGACAGACTCTCACCAAGCTGTACAATAAGGGTGATGATTTCAATTGTCCTTATATAAATGTTCTATTTCTGCATTCCAAACCAATGGAGTTTATATGTCACAATTGATTTAATATTCAATGCCTGTTTCTAATATCACGATATCTGTATAAGATGTTGTCAACTTACGGACAAGCTCATAACTTAGGGCTTCAAAAGAGACAGGCTGATGAAAATTATAGTGATGTCACTGAGAAAAAAATTGAGTGATATGAAATTCGACGTGTTTGATGTTTGTTAGTGTGCCTGTTGGTTCCGGTGTCGAAGACCTTGTTCTCATTTGAGAACATGACATTGTTTCCTTGGATTGACCAAGAATCACATGGTTGATGAAGCAGAAGACGCTTATTTTTCGGGAACATCTGATCTTATTCTCCTTGTACATATTCACGAATCTCCGTGTAAACATTTATTTTGTTATTTTGCTCTTGGGTTATTGAACAAATTCGTTAATGGTAAAAATCTCGTTTCTGAAAGAAGTCTTAGAATCGTGTTCCTGTATGTGCTAAGATGTTTTGTTATACTTTAGCCCACACTTAGTTTATTTTTGTTGTCAAAGTGAACAGTTAGTTTGACAGCCTAAAACTTCCACTTTGATTTTCTGTCTTTATATTCACCTGTAATGCCAGCGTACATGCTTCTTCGTGTATAGTTTGATACTAAGTTATACATATTGTCGGTATGTTTATGAACAATACACGTGTTGCTTGATATGTAAAACGCTGAATAGAATACAATTAGTTAAAGTCAATCAAGAAAAACGCTGTTTTTTTTAAAACTCTGTTAATTAGGTGAGCAATCACTGATTACTTGAACAAAAATACAAATCGGTGAACTATGATCTCATTACTACAGTCAACAGGTAGGTATAACTTACAACTGAATATTGACAGTGCCTATGATAGATTCCTTTCAAATTATGCGATCTCGCAGCATGAAGTCTCAAATTTTCATCGTTGGTTATTTTTAAATAGCAACAAAGAAAGAATCATCCAAAACCTAGAAAAGCATCAGTTAACCAGAAATGTTAAAAAAAAATCCGACGAAATTTATTTACGATATCGCATTACATTCAATTATATCCTCTATGGAATAAAAAATATAAAATATTAGCGATATATCTATGCTATCACCCCATGCCATGAAAAATCGATGTCATTTTATAACTTGGCATTTGCTTGACCAATGTGGCGGTGTAAGAATTTTTTAAAAGAAAATGGTTCATTATGAATGCCCAAAATATTGAAACCTGTGATTAAGGATTAACTTTGAATATTGTAAATGTTATTTAGTAAAAAAATTAATAATAATAAAATAAGAATTAAATAAAAATAATAATAATAAAAAAAGAATTAAATAATAATAATAAAAAAACTTGCAACGGTAGAATCCAGTCAGTAAACAGCACGTCATAGAGTTGCATAAGTAATGACTGGGGAGTTCATTCGGTAGAATGACCGTGTGTATCCTGCTGTATATGTCAGTAACCTTTTGTACTGAGTGTACACCGTTTGACATCCCATGCCAATGTCTTAAGACACGTGTTTGACTGTTGATGGATCTTGCTATGTTTGTTTAAGGGCGTATCAGTGAAGATTGCAAATAGGAGTTGATACTTACATAACTTAAGCTGAAAATTCGAAATTAAATCACATTAAACACAAGTGCGATCATAGTGCGGAAAGTTTCTTATCCAATAAAATATCATAATTTTGCTATACATGGAATCATCTACTCTCCAATGGCCAACTCAATTTCTTAAACCCCATTGGAATCCCTATTGATCTGGAGTATTGTGATATGTACTTTTGATATAGTCAGTCCACAAAGTACTGTATTTTAAAAGATATAAGGACTTTTCTAAAATTTTCATCCTTTCCATGTTTGATTTTACTGATAAGTCCTCGCTGGCCTACGTTCGGGATCACTGGGTACAGACCAATCTGAAGACTTTACATTGTGTGTATTACTCTTTATAAGTATCTCTTGACTCCAAAAAATTTGAAAGAATATCTATTATCAACTCTTCAAAGTTGAAAGAAAACTGCAAAATTGAAGACACAATGCATTGCTATGGCAAATTTCATTGTGACGGTAGAATGATAAATATTGTACAAAGACAATGATTTATACATGGTGTGTAGAATGTAACCAAAGGCATTTCTAGAGTGCGATGAGAAAAAATAAATTTTGACGAGTGAAAACGATGGGAAAAATAAGAAAATCAGCATAAAGTAAGAACAAACCACACGTGTCAATGTCAAGGTCGACCAGGAACAAAAATACGTTTAGGATAAACACCAGGGTTATATAATCTATAGCGCAAGGATTCAAATTAGGCTTAACGAGGGGGATTAACGAGGGGGGTTCAACGATTCAGTTTGCTGTTTATCGAATGAATTTGATTCTGTTAAGTAGTCGCATGAAGTCCACATATGAACAGTTTTCCTTGATACAGTAGTAGTGTTTCGGTAGGTAGTCCCAACGTCAAGTCTAGAGCTGTCTTATAACACCAAATTATCCACTGTGGCGATTATAATAGTAATCAAAGATCGAATAGATATATCAATGTGTAATTTTCATAATTTCATCATCTGTTCATTAATCTTAAAATTTCAATCATGTCGGTATTTTCTTTTTCCCCACAAACCAACCTCTCGCCCTATGATTATCACATTTATATAACATTATATAAATGCTTACAGATAAAACATTTTATTTGAATAAGATTGTTCATCACATGCTGTAAACTATGGCATGTCTTCAACTTCAGATTGTATGAATCAGAGAAAAACAAGAACTCGGGTACATAGTTACATTACGCATACATTTTTCTGATGCTTGTAAGAACCAGATACCATAAAGACAAATGTTTAATTAATTTATAAAGCGACCATTTTAATGATATTCTACCTGTACGTAAAACAGAACAAGGCTGACTTGGTGAGAAATGACATTCCTATGTAGGCGATTTAGAAGACGTGGATTTCTACAGATAAACCGACCTAGATTTTCAACTGTCTGTAAATGTTTAGTAAGTATGTAACTCAGTTATTCTACCAGATAAGGACGTCCAGGTTATATAAACAATACAACCAAGGTCTTGAGACTATTGTGTGGTGAACACAAGTCACAGCACCACCTCTCACGTAAGTATACACTTTTCTTCCTCTTTCTGCCTCCGAACCGATTTAGCATACATTTGAATTTACTGCAACTGACATTCTTCTGTCTTATTTTGCATAAAGCGATAATTTTGCTTAAAAAATGTATTATAGATTTTTATGCAGCTGCTCAACTTGTCGCGCAGAAAAAATATACATCGTACACATATGGATAGCATTAAGCTTACATAAATGTAATAGTACCACGTGATTTATGTAGGATTTATCTGGTTTGTTAGAAAACAGCCAGTTTACGGGTATCGAGTGATTTACCCAATGATAACGTGTAGAATGGTACTACTTTATCAGAAACATTTCGTACGTACAGGTGACATTAATTTTTTTTCGATAAAAGATGCATCTGTTTTCTGTCATCGTATTGAAATATCTAAGGTAAACGATAACTGTCCTAGACCTGGGAGCAATGATACATAGGTATTCATAAACGTCCTCCAATCGAATCTTATACAACATATTTCTTTCTTTCTATTTCAGGTAAAAATGCTACGAATTTTGGTTCTAGCCGTGACGGTAACCTTGGCGTTGGGGGCTGCGACAAATGTCCAGATAACCAATGAATGGCCTGGAGGCTTCCAGGGCACGTTCACAATACATCCAGACAACGCACTGCACGGTTGGAAAGCTCATCTCCAATTTTCCAAGCCCGTCGATAAACTTGAGGTACAAGAACCATGATATAATCAGATCTATGTTACAGAATACCCTGTATATGCATTGATGATACTTTAATACAAAATATTTTCTTTTTTTCATTTTAGGCGCTTTTTGCGGTTAATTAAGTAAAATCATTATTTAAATATATTCATATTTAATGCCGGCATCGTACAAATTTAATCTATTACATTTTCTTTAAAGTTATGAATTGATTTGCCCACAGGCTATGCGTTGACCCTTTCAGTAAAGTTTGTATGTTGAGTCGAACATGATGAACACTGGTCATATCATATGTTCGGCATGTTGAATACTGCCCTATTTCCTTTCAGATTTCTGCATGTTGATTCAGCAGTGACCGTTTGTGACATTATAAGTGAAACATTGACCTTCTGTCCTTGTACTGCCTTGAATGTCACGGTTTTACTATTTTTGACACCAGACACGTAACAATTTGCCCGTTGATTTCACATAATGTTCAGTATGCTATGATGTTGCTATTAGTTTCATTTGAGATCGCGCAAGTCGCTTAATGATAAGTGTACTTTTCATGACATCACGTAAGTTTTGTGCTGACGCTGAGTTTGTTTCATCTACAATAGATCTGGAAGGCCTCTGTTGTATCCACATCTAATAATAATCAAGAGTATGTGGTGCAGAACGTCCCCGGGGTTGGCGAGATTGGCGGCGGGGCTAGTCTTGATGTTATATTTGTTGCACGAGCTGGCGGAGATCACGCTGGTCCCGTGAGAGTATTCGTAGAAGGCGTGGATTCAGGATCAAGTTCGAGTGGTGGCAGTTCCAGTTCCGGTGGTGGCAGTACTGGTGGTGGATCATCCGGTGGTAGCGGATCTTCGGGCGGATCAGGGACTCCTATTTCCGGCGGAAGTTCGTCACTCGGATGTAAATTAATCTTTTCTTATATTTAAAAAAAAATGTTTTTATGATGAAATGTACCAACACACTTTTTCTATTGTATTCTCAAGGATTCGGAAAGCAGTTTTTTTTCTGTAAACTTAACGTTGTATTCATTTTACATGTTTCTACACAAAACTATGAACAGGTAGCAGTGTTCACAATGTGTAAAGTTATTTTCAAAAGTCAAAGTAACGCTGCCGAGTTCGTTTTTTTAAACAAATATGCCAAAAACGCAGATACGAACTGTTTTTCCAAAGAACTTTGATGAAGGTCATTATTACAAATTATAGGCATTACTGTTTTCAGTTACAGAGGGGGTGAGCGATTACAACCTAATACAATAACCTAACATTACTAAAATATATCTCCGAAAATATAACTTATGTACCTCTGAAAATGATATGTCGCAAGCCAACTTTGTCATAAGATATAAAAAATATAACATACACTATTGTTGTGACCATATTTCCCAAGAAAGACAATCTAGTTTAACATTTCTTAAATGCCGTATTCTTACAAAAGGTTGTTGAGTCACAGTAAAAACATCCATTAATAGATCACGTGAGTAAAAAACAATGCGACGAAAACTGACAACAGGTCACCCCAATTGAGTTGATCAACTTGTTGGATCTCACCTCAGCTAGAAATGAAACATTGAGAAATGGTGCAAACCCGAAAAATGATAGATATAGCATGAAACACATATGGATTGTGTGATTGTAGGGTTCTGGGGATAATGACAGCGAACGGAATATCATAACTGACTGCTGGGTGGTACAAGTGTTTAAACCCTTTCACTATGGAGGATGGTATTTGATATGATCTATATTTGTTATCTGAATCTGATCTTTTCCCTTGGAAACAAGGATATGCATTCACGGGTAGTGACTGTTGTTGGTTAAGGTATAGACCTCAAACAAAAACTATTTAACAATTCGCCGATCACAGCAATGTTTACAGTTCATCTGAAGTAAAAATGATTAAAAGAGAAATATTTTCATATATATCGTTTCTTATTACTTGTACCAGTTAGTCCCAACCATGTTACGTGGAACCCTTTTCTTAATAAATGATTACTGACAATACGAGTTACTGTTTGTCTCCATTGCAGCCTCGACTAAGTATGACTACGGAGCTGCCCTCGGTCTGTCCATCTTGTTCTACGATGCTCAACGGTCTGGTAAACTGCCTTCAAACAACCCTATCCCGTGGCGATCTGATTCAGCTCTTGGGGACGGAAGTGACGTGGGAACGGACTTGACCGGAGGCTGGTATGACGGTAAGCATTTGGAAAATACTACTGCTGCCTGGTGTTTATATCAAAACATATTGTGGCATTCAATAAATCTGTCTTAATAATTTGTCGTTAGCGGATTCAGTCATACTAACTAGGAAAATCATGATACAATAACAAAGAAACAAGGGTAAACATAATTTGCTTCATCAAAGACACCCGCCATGCAAAGCCTGCCCAACATTTAACAAACCTAGTACGTCAAACTGTATAAAGCAAAAAGAGAGATTTGATTATATTAAGGACGCGTTTTTATAGGTGCGTTTGAAATTGCTAAAATATGCCAGGAAGGCCAGCATATTGTCAGACTCTAAATCTTAGTATCATATCGATTATTTGTTTAATGTAAATTTTTAACTAGTGATCATCATCTGTGATCAGTTGACTTTTCATTTGATTTCAGCCAATAACGCTCAGTTATGCCATAATATATGGCAATGAAATATTTCAAAGTTGACCGCTGACCTGATGACCAGTAACATTCAGATGTTTTTCGTTTTACATGTATATACACATTAATCTCTGAATGTGAAAAGTATAAAGAAAATCTTAACGTAATCAACCAAACAAGAATTTAGATATTTTGGAGATACTTAGTTTCTACTTATAATACGACGACATTGTCCTTTGACATCGGGATTCAAGCATTTCCGCCAAAAAGGATGTAGTAAAGTGTGATTGAATTGGTTGAACCAAATCAAAATACGGACGGACGAACAAACAGACGGACGGACAACCTCTATTGGCTCTATTAACACAGATGTATTCATGTATAAGATAACTAAAGTTTATCATTTATGTTTTATCTACATAACTCTTTCATCTGAATTTGGCGTCTATGGGGGCGACCCACATTCGTTATTTCTTTCACTTCTATACTCAAATATTTAATAATTAGGCTTTACTGTATATGCTCCTTAATTGTACTGAACGTTACTATTCATTTCTGTGTCTTGTTCAGTCATAGAGTCCCATAGGTAAGAATATTTGTGGTACTGTGCTAATACATTTTCAATATTTCAATAGCGGGAGACCTTGTCAAGTTCAACTTCCCGATGTCATCAACAACCACAATTTTGGCCTGGGGCTTGTCCAAGTGGAAGGATGGTTACCAGGCAGCGGGGCAGCTGGAAATGATGTACGATTGTATCAAATGGCCACTCGACTACTTCCTGAAATGTTGGAAACCAAGCCAGAACGTATACTACGCTCAGGTAAGAAGGGAGCGTTTAATTGGCTTAGAAATGTGACTACTTTCGCAATATAGGTACAGGTGAGACTGCTGTCATTGTAAACCGCGATAGAATACTTCTTTAGATAAAGGTTAAGGTAGGAATGCCATAGATGACTGCCTGCGATATAGGCTCAGGTCAGGCTACTGTCTTTATACACCGCGATAGGAGATGACTTTCGATAAAGGCTCTTGTAAGACTGCTGTCAGTAGAGACTAAGACGACACCACAGTTATCAAAGTAAAAGTAAGACATCGCTATATCGATAGCAAGACAAAGTATGATATAGTATCAGGTTAGTTTGCTTTCTTTATTCATCTTAACAGGAGATTACGTGCGATATAGGATCTGGTTAGCTTGTTGTGTTTGTAAATCTCGATAGGAGATCAAGTGCACATCAGATAAGAGGCATATTTTTCAATGACTATCATATTAGAAGCATATCTTAATACATATCACTTAAGAGACATCTTTCAATACATGCCAGTTAAGAGACATCTTTCACTACATGCCAATGAAGAGACATCTTTCACTACATATCAGTTAAGAAACATCTTTCACTACATACCAGTTAAGAGACATCTTTCACTACATATCAGTTAAGAGACATCTTTCACTACATACCAGTTAAGAGACATCTTTCACTACATGTCAGTTAATAGACATCTTTCACTACTTATCAGTTAAGAGACATCTTTCAATACTTGTCAATTAAGAGACATCTTTTAATACATGTCAGAAAAGATACTATAGGTACGGTATATTAGCAGGGGAAGAAATATGTTGTAGGTTGGTAATGGTGGAACTGATCACGCAGTCTGGGGCAGACCGGAAGACATGCATATGAGCAGACCATCATACAAAGTTGACACCGGAAGACCCGGAAGTGACGTTGCAGGAGAAACTGCCGCATCTCTTGCTGCTGGATCTATTGTTTTCAAATCCAGAGGTAAACCTCTTGTTTGTTACAATGGATGCACAATGTATATACACATACATATAACTTACCTTTTAATGGTCGAGGATTGCCGAAAGTTTTGTATATCAAGCTTTAAAAAGACGAATATATAATCATCCTACAAATAATGTTGTGGTGAATAAGAAAACAAAAACATGTCAAGTGTCTACATAGATAAATGCGATTTCAGATGCTGGTTATTCTGCTAAGCTGTTGACAGCTGCAAAGAGCTTGTACGAGTTTGCAAAGAATCATAAGGGTATCTACTCCCAAAGTGTCCCTGATGCTCAGAGCTATTACGGGTAAGTCACCAAAAGTAATGTTATGTATATAAAAAAGCAAACTGTCCATTTAATATTCGATTTTCAAGAATGAGTTTTTTTCGCGATTTTCTTTGACGTCATGTTTGTACCGATGATTTTAAGATACATCCCTAAAAACTGATGTCTCATTCATGACAAAACGTGTATTATGAGCAAAGAAAATCTGCATAGTATGACCATCCTCAAATTATTTTACAGAGGGAAACCTAATGAAGTACCATCGAGCTTCCATTGCTCTTTGCAGTATGGCCTTTCTGTACTTATCTTTTCAGCAGGTTTTATTTCCTCTCATTTACTTATGTGATCCAGAGAAGACAATAAATCATAACTACAGGTTAGAGGCTTTGATATTTCTGTTTCAGCCAATATTGATTTCCCCTGTCGTCACAGGTTCTGAACTAGGCTCGAACGGTCGTAGGACAGAATAGCTGCATTGTATCCATTATTTGCTGTGTTGTACATATGTTGTATGCAATGCTATTATCTCAGGGTGGTATTCAAATGTGCGTCTGTTGCACAATTCCTAGACAAGGTAGCATGACACTTCACCTGAGCATAAAATTCTAAAATAATCGTGGAATAGTAAGTCCGCTCTGACATTTGACATGAAACATGTTGCTTATACCGAAATAAGTGAAGTTAGGAAACAATAAGTTTATTTGTTTTTCAGCTTTCCGCCCCGTGAACAGCCATGGTCAATTTAATGCAATCCCTTTCCCCGCTTATCACATGATTAAATGCTTTGATTAATGGAATTTTTTGTATTGATCAGGTCAACAGGGTACAACGATGAACTTTGTGAGGCATCAGCGTGGTTGTATAAAGCCACACAAGAGGGACACTACCTTGAAGAGGCGAAGGGCTTTTACGAGAATGACGTCAGCTGGGCATTGTCATGGGACGACAAGAAGGTCGCTTGTCAGGTAATTACAGACAGGTCGAACTGTTCTCAGGGCATTGTCATGGGACGACAAGAAGGTCGCTTGTCAGGTAATTATAGACAGGTCGAAACTGTTCTCAGGGCATTGTCATGGGACGACAAGAAGGTCGCTTGTCAGGTAATTACAGACAGGTCGAAACTGTTCTCAGGGCATTGTCATGGAACGACAAGAGGGTCGCTTGTCAGGTAATTATAGACAGGTCGAAACTCATGACTTGTCAGGTGGTAAGAGACAAAGAAAAATTGTCCCCATTACAAGTCCGGTAATTACAACCAAAGAGGAACTGTCTTTAGGACGTGTCCGGTAATTATAGTTAAAAAAAACAACTGTCCTTAAAACCTGTCAGGTAAAGAGCTACTGTCCTCAGAAATTAACCGGTAATTATAAACAAATAGCTTCTGTCCTCAGAAATTAACCGGTAATTATAAACAAATAGCTTCTGTCCTCAGAAATTAACCGGTAATTATAAACAAATAGCTTCTGTCCTCAGAAATTGTTCAGTAACTATAAACATAGAGCTACTGTCCTCAGAACCTGCCAAGCACTTATAGACAAAGTGCAACTGCCTCAGAAATTGTCAAGTAACTACACTTATATACAAAGTGCAACTGCCTCAGAAATTGTCAAGTAACTACACTTATATACAAAGTGCAACTGCCTCAGAAATTGTCAAGTAACTACACTTATAGACAATGACTACCTCTATTAAGATTATTTCGCGGTAACCATAGATAGATGGAAGCCTACTAAAGTGTGGTTACATTTGACAAGAATCGAGATTTAAACTGGGCATGTGATTATATTCCAGCTGCTTTTGTGGGAAATTACAAAGGAGGCTAAATATAAGTCAAACGTTGAAGCGTTTATCAACAGCTACAAGCCAGGTGGTGGTATAACATATACTCCATGTGGACTTGCTTGGAGAGATCAGTGGGGCAGTCTCAGATATGCTGGTATGTATTTTACTATCCTTCTTATTATGTTCTAATTGACAAACTTGCATTTTTTTTCGTTATGGAAATTCGAACGCCGATACACTCAAACAAGCCAAAAATACATACACGTTAACGAAAACCTGAATTCTAATTCAAAGTCGATGAAACAAGAGCAAAATATCATCAAAAAGCAAAAAACAAAACAAAACAAAACAAAACGTTGATACGGAGGCTTTTGAAAACGTAAAAATAAGTTGCGGTGTTGTGTAATTTGAATTTATCATCTGAATGCATTAGACAATTTTCAAACGCATAAAAACAAGAATGTTTACTTTCCTAGCAAACGCAGCGTTTGTGGCGCTGATGGCCGCTGAAGATGGAATCGGAGGAGCTGACTACAAGACATTTGCTCTCTCCCAGATCAACTATATCCTAAAGGACAACAGGCAACATATGAGTTTTGAGATTGGCTTCGGTAGCAATTATCCCAAACAACCTCATCACAGAGGAAGGTATATTTATATATTTATGTGTATAGCTATAAATAGCAAAAAAAAAAAAAAAAAAAAAAAACCCAGTTGCACAGTTTCATCAAAAATAAGAAAATACCAACATGTTAACTTAATGCTAATCTAAACACAATTTCAACACAACTAGGGCGAAAAATGGATTAAGAAATACAGTTTACATGGATACTCCTAAAACCATCACAAGGTAAATAAGACAAAGTGTTCGGGAAAGATAAGCGTTCCCAGCTTATACTCAATTCAATATTCATGTCCAGACCATAAGAATATCCTGTGCGAAGGTTTTGTGTAATGAATTACGTTCTTTCACAATGTACAGATAACAACCACTATTATGAGAACATCGCGTATATCACATGTTGTATATTGCTGATATATCGTTTATAAATCGAGTAATTATTATTATTATTATTTTAACGTTTCTTCCTTAGTATGAGCACGAGTCAGTACCGACTGAATGTATTGTAAATGCTATCGATCAACAACACCAGCGACAAAATGGACGCACTGTTCATTGTAATTATCATAAGAAGAGTTTGTGATGGCGTTAGAAGCTGTAATTGCTTTGATGTGTTTTTGAAATCATCAGATATATGGATATTTCGTAGTATATTGAATTATGGGGTTATTGAAAATTTACTACTGTATTCAGTTCTATTTTATTTATTTTTATTTTGAAAATTGCTTTTCATTTTCGTCTTTTTTTGTAATATTTGACCAAACTGTTTTATATAGCTCCTGTCCCGGCGCCGGCTGTGGATGGAACGACTACAACAGCGGCGGAGACAACCCACACGTTCTCAAAGGTGCTCTTGTCGGTGGGCCTGATCAAGGAGATAATTACGCCGACAAAAGGTCAGACTACACCAAGAACGAAGTCACATGCGATTACAATGCTGGATTCCAGTCAGCACTTGCAGGTAACATTATCAATAATTTGATTTGCTCTTTTTCAAAGCATATTAGTTCCATTTCTTATTTTTCCATTTCTGACTTTTCTTTTATTGCCGGAGTTAATTTCTCTTCTTTTCTATCCAATTATCTCGGTAATTTCTTTCATCATCGATTCTATTGAACGTATCGATTCTTATTATCACAACTTTTTAGATGGTCTGTTATCATATGAACATTCTTTTCCTCTGTATTGTGATCGGCTGGTTATAAAAGAGCACGTAATTACAAATGAAAGCTTACTTTTTAATTTAGTCGATATTGTTAGGGCAAACATAGTGATACGCGATACGGATTACATAGAAGGTTGGTATAAAAAGCATATCCTGGAACATGCTTTAAGTACTTTTGTATAGACAAACGGAAAAATTGTTATTGATGATAAAATTTAAGAAACTGTATTATTCTTTCCAAATAAAGCGTCTAGTATCAGATCGCAATCGGCCAATAATATCATAAACTCATGACAAAAATTGAATACTGGTTTTTTATGTAGACTAAAAAACAATCATTTTATCGAGGGAAGTGTTGTCGCTGTTTTAGGAAATATGAATCAGGCCGTTATACTGTAACAATGAAGTCCATTTACGTTTAATAGAATGCACCTTTGAATTAAAACGAGTGTATTGATATAGTGTTTTATTATAGAATTATGAAAAAGGGCATTTCTATCGTGGGATATTGTGTTTTATTTATAACAATGTATCTTATAATTAAAAAGGGGTCGATTAATGGCAGTTTTACAATAGTTATGAAGGGTTAGATTTATTTTATCTTATACCTGTATTACAATGACATAAAAGTATTTTTAAATCCGAATTTTACGAAACAGTTCACTTTAAATATGAAATGGTATTATTTTTCACAGGTCTGTCATCAATGGCTACACGTGGGGAACTCCCAGCATCACCAGCCGCTAAATGTTAAGATTGACATCACTATGTTCATTAAAACATCAAATCTAAATTTGATCGTGTTATTGTTGTTGTCCATTTAAATATTTAAATACAGGTCAAGTGATCACGTAATCAGATGTGAACTTTTAAGGGACATACGCTATGATCGGTTGGTGTGAAGTACAGGTATTAATTTCAACACATCACCAGTTAGTGACACCAGATTTTCGCGTTTTATTACAGGAGTGCATTTCGGCAACAAACAAGACATCAATTTGTTAAAAACGTGTAACGTAATGTGTTGCCTCTAAAACGAATAGGGAAGAGAGGAAAGTACTATAAATGCGCGATGTTGGTAAGGTGGCATGTAACTGCCATCTACTTGTACGTGTCATGTTGCCATTTTAATTTATCAAAACAAATAGTCATATAAACACACCTTGTCATGATGATATCGTGTTGAGACGTATTAATAAGTCCACTAGTCGTGATAAATTGATTTTTAAATATCCTTAATTATCATGACAGCACGACATTGTGCCGCGGTGATGCTCGGACTTGACATGCGTTGAAACTTCAATTTCTCTAAACATGGACTAACACGTTATTCGGTATACCTCAGTTATATCACTGACCATACACTGACTAGTGATTACTTCTCTTCGTCACTGAAAAACCAAAATACAGAGGCCTTCCGAATAATGTGTTAGTATATTTTAAGAGAAAGTAAAGTTTCAACACACGTCACTTTCAAGCAATATCGCGACAAAAAATCGCGTTGTCATATCTAAGGTGATATCTAAGGTGACTTAAAGTTATCGCGATAAATATCACGACTAGCCGACTGAATAAGACATTGCTACACGTTATTGTTATGACCATTCGTGTTAATATGACAATTTGTTGCAATAAATTATGACAACATGAGTCGATGGCAGTTACGTGCCACCATATTTTAGTGTGGCGTTGTCTACGTTCTCAAATTGATATGCTGTTGGCATGTTTTTGTGACATGGAAATATAACACACTAATTGACTAATTGTTTTTAGTTAAGTTGATAACAATTATGTATTTAAAATAAACAGTCATACATACAGCATACAGTTTACTTTCAATAGAGATGTGTCATAAATTATCTGCCTCGTCAATTTTGTAATTCGAATACAAATATTTGATCTAAGTAATATATTAAGGCATTCATTATAATGTTTATGTGTTAATTGATATTGTCTTATTGATTAAACAGACTAAAATAACATGTGCCCCTTCCGGTCCTTTCAATCTCTCCTGGTATTATTTATTGTTGTTTGGCGTTAATTTGGGAAATATCTACAAATAGTTTGTAATTAGTTTTTAATGGAACAACATGATAAATCAGCATGACAATCCGACAATACCTTTTCATTACCAATGTATAATAAATGAGGCTGTGAGAGCTCTTACAGCGATTTTCTATAAATAGTAATGAAGAGCTCAAATTTGTCCAAGGTAATTTGATGTTTCATAAGTGTGTGAATTTTGATGAGAGTCTCTCAAGAAATGATGCCAGTATAGAGCCGGTAAGTATTTCTTTAAAAATATAAACGATGACCTTGACCTTAAGGCAACAAGCGTGAAATTCAATTTTGTCCAAAATATTTTGATGCTTGATAAGTGTGATAAGAATATCATAACAAACTTTATTACGGACGCAGAGACTGACGAATAGGAAAAATACAGTCCCCGCATGGGTTTCATCGGGACTTATAAATTTAAAGACTTGATAAATATTGCCACTGTTAGGTTCGGAGAAAATGATGGAAGCATACCACATATACCTCAGATGTACATGTCGTTGAGAAGAAATAAAATTTCATTACAGCAAGGGGCCCAAGGACCTTAGTGCTCACCTGAGTTACAATGGTGTCGTTATTCTTGTAGAATGTCGTAGAAAACTAAAATAGTTTGAACTACGTTGTACACTGATGCAAGACAGAATTTCGGTAAAGAACCTTCAGACTCTCAGAATTCTCGGTCAAATTGACCATTTTTGGCCGCGCTTCTCTGCCCCTTAGAGTGAACAATGATTTATATTACCAATAACTTTTTGAATCATTTCCAACGGATAAAATTGTCCATAACTTTTTATTTTTTGATTTAAACCATAGTAAACTTTACCCCTCCCTAGAGGAAAATGACAGACTGAAATGACTGCCATCAATTTGAAGTATGTTTTGAAGTCAAGTTTGGTCAGAAGTTCCCGTTGCACAAGTGTGCACTATAATGATAAATTGTGAATTACACTACTTCAAAAATGCATACCTTCGAGAGTAAAAGATAGAGGGAAAATATTTCTATTAAAATTGTTTATTCTTTTGTATATCGAAATTGAATGTTTTAACATATGCAGGAATTCTGGGTTGCTCTGTTGAAGGCGGACCAGCTGATACACGACACAAACACAAACACAGAAGGGAGAGAAATAAAGATGTTTAGAGAGAAGAGACAATTTAGATTCCAGATTTAGTCGCATTTTGCGATCATGCAATAAGGAGGACAGACAACATCTTGAGGCTCTGATTGGTAGTACTGTTTTGTCCTTAGCATTGTATAAGGACGCTTTGTAATTATGGGGTAATCATGTGAGTTGTCGTTACCATAAGGGTTTAGCAAAGGTCTTTCACATCCTGGTCTTGTTCTTCTCCTCCTCCTTCCTTTGTTTGTTTGTTTTTTTTCATTTTGATATTTATTTTTGTTCTGAGTTGTTAACTGTTAACTGACTAAAATAGAGTATCGACAGCTCAAAATGATATTGCTTTATATAAAGGAACGAGGAAATAGGGACATATGGTGATTGTTTCTTTCGTTTATTAGACTTTTCGGGGTAAAATAATCTTTATGGATACGTCATAACTAGAATAAATTATTTCCTCTGTAGCCTTCATCGTATATTGTATAGCCGCTTTTGCTAGTAGTCATCGAACGATTGTATGTTCGCAAGGCTACTATCCTGAAGAAAACACATTTGAATTTATATTTACAAAGTGCTAGTCACAGATAGAGAGATCATTATACTTTCCATCACACCAATAAACGATCAACGTGTTGTGAGCATACGCCTACGGATTACTTATAAACATCGTATAGAACAATAACTAACTTAAAGAGGATAAGGCGCTTTGCATAAACGCTTTCATTCGACACGTCATAACAATAACACTACTGGAATTAATATTACTTTCATGTAAAGAGAAACCATAGCCCCGTATTTTTGATTTCCATATCTCATCAAATTGCAAATAAGCGGGTATGATTCTTGAGATAATCATTCCTCTGAGTATTCTTTCCTGGTGCCGAAAAACACTAGGAATTTCAGTATCGTTATTGGTAAGTTTGATCCATTCAACAACTGACTACATGGTACTTTCAACCGAACTGATGATTTCTTTTAGATGGGGATTAACGTCCTGGTAACAATCAGTTATATTAGGACTGGTGTCGAGAGGAACATCAATTCAAGGGTAAGACGTTAATAAAATATTAAAGTTTAAAAATAACTTCATGTTACGGACCACAAGTCCGGACTGTCAATGGAAACATTTTAATTAAAATATAATTTAATTTGAATGACTATACATTGACAGTCTTATTACAATGACATGTTTTTCAATGAAAAATTAATGTACTGATGTAGCAATAGATTCTACAATTTGTGGAGCTAATCAAATATTCCTTCACATGGAACTTACTGATCTAAAAATGCCAAAGGCTGATCGGCCTTAGCGTCCATCTGACTATAAAACATACATATGAAATAGGCTCAATGGGCCTGAATTGCTCACCTGCTCTGCAGTTTACAAAGAAAGTTGTCAGCTTATAAAGTCAATTTCTGCCATCTTGAAATCCTATTCAACATAGATTTTAATTATCAATACATTTGATACCGATGACCTTAAAAATGGGTCAAGGTAAATCCTTTAAATATATTTATTAGACATTCATCCAGTTTTGTTCCAGAACCAACAGAAACAGCTTGGACCCTTTGGTTGTTGAGAAATTATTTAGTGATTTTAACACATTTGACCCCTCGTACCATGAAAGGGGGTCAAGATAATTAATTTGATCAAGTTTGTTTGTACAAAGCATGCAACAGACCACATAATAACATTCTAAGGCTTTTGGTTATGTAGAACACATTAGACATCTGGAAAATGGGTGACAGTAATTTATTTGAACAACCATTGTAGCCCTTTCTGTCAGTCTATTGCAGACCACATATCAGCATCCTTAGTCTTTTGGTTATAGAGAAGTCGCTTCAATGAAAAGTTTTGTGCACAGCAGACTGGATCAGTCATGATTAATATGTGCATACCATTAAACCGTCATTCTATACTTATAATTATAAAAAAATTCTGAACAATTTCCAAAATAAAGAAATAAAATATATTTAAAGTATATTATATATACTAAATTTCATCCCCCTCCGTAGACAATATGTGAGAATCTGAATCATGTATTTCACTCTTTAGGAAAAGCTTCATAAATCCAACCATCCATGAAGAGCATTTGATTCTACAAGATTGAGGTGTTGAGAGGATTTCTGAAATTCGAGTTAATTTGACCTCTACTTTTTTCCCGCATTTTAGCCTCTTGGGTCAGCTAAAATCAATAAGTGCATGTCATCGGGCCGTCATTACAATTATATTTCTAACCAGGTTTCAATTGTTTCCAACAGAAAAAATATACCCAAATATATAATTTTCCTTTAAGATATAGAGTAAACTTCACTCCACCCCGTGGAAAACGGGAACTCCCAGGATTGTGTTTTTCACAATTATGATAAAGCACATGAAGACCTTCTTTAGTAATTTCTGAAGAAGAAGATTGTTGTAATTTAATATTTCGATCCCGTCGTTCAGGTTCTTACCTGAAAAGTGGAAAAGTTTACGGAAGGCCCAGACGGATAGTGATAGCAATAGGTCCTCCACACCTTTCGGACCAGAAAAGATTTCTCTTGCTACATGCAGGTAAGCCGTAAGAATTGTACCTGA